GGACTCATACTGGAGGATAATTTGAAGTTAATAGGAAGAGGGGTAAAAATTGGCTTACAATCTTGCATGCTAAATCGTGACAAGATCTTCTTTAAATAATTCTTTTGTGAAAGCCAAATATTCCTATTACTTCTGTCTCGGTGAATTTGCATCCATAGAATCTTGTTTGCTGATCCCAAGTCCTTCATTTCAAATTCCCTAGCCAGTTGTGCCTTCAATTCTTCAATATGATCTTTGTTGGGTCCTACAACCAACATGTTATCCACATACAACAGCAAAATAACAAAATCGTTATCACCAGACCTCTTGAAATAAGCACAAGGGTCTGCATTAAGTCTGTTGTATCCAAGGCACATAATAAAGGAATCAAATCTCTTATACCAACACCTCGGCACCTGCTTTAGACCGTACAGAGATTTGTTCAACCAGCAAACCAAGTTCTTCTTTTCGTCTTCTTCAAAACCTTCGGGCTGGAGCATATAAATCTTTTCTTCAAGATTTCCATGAAGAAAAGTTGTTTTAACATCTAGCTGCTCTAGATGTAAGTTCAATTTAGCATATATTACCAAAACTACTCGAACTATTGTTAGTCGAACCACAGGAGAAAATATTTCATTGAAATCAATACCTTCTTTTTGAGCATATCCTTTGACCACCAGTCTTGCACGATACATCTCCACTTGATCGTCACCATTTCGCTTGATATTGAAGACCCATTTGTTACCAACTGGCTTCCTTCCTTGTGGTAGTGGCATAATGTCCCATGTATTATTTTTATGAAGGGCTTCGATTTCTTCTTGCATCGCCATCATCCACAGTGAAGCATCTGAGTTGTTTATTGCCTCCTGATATGTTGATGGCTCACCATCCTCTGTTAAAAGACAACATGCAATATTACTTTCTATAACATAATCTGAGTGCCAATTGGGACGTTTTCTCACACGATCTGATTGACGAGTTGTTGGAGCTTCAGAACTCTCTGGTTCTTGTTCATCATGTGCTGGTTCTTCTTCAGAAGAATCTTCTTTTCAAACTCCTTTTCCACATATATCTGCGTAGTCTCTGACTTTTTAGCATTATCATTGTCTTCTTTTCTTTGTAGTTTATCTTCTACAAAGATAACATCCCTGCTGATGATCACTTTGCAGGCAGTGGGATCCCACAAACGATACCCCTTTACTCCATCAGCATACCCCAATAATTTATATTTCTTCGATTTTGGATACAACTTTGAAATTTCTTGGGAGTTGTACATCACATACACAATACTTCCAAATACATGGAGGTTTGAATAATCAGCTGGTTTACCAGTCCACATCTCTATTGGTGCCTTCAGCTCTATTGCAGTTGATGGAGCTCGATTCACCAAATAACAGGCGGTATTGACTGCTTCTGCCCAGAATGATTTTTCTAGGCATGCATCCCTCAACATTGCTCTTGTTCTTTCTAACGAGGTTCTGTTCATCCGCTCTTTCACTTCATTTTGTTGAGGAGTGTTTGCCACTGTGAACTGTCTTTTGATGCCTTCTTTTCTGCAAAAGTCATCAAATTCTTCGCTTGTGTATTATCCTTCATTATTTGTTCTGAAACACTTGATCTTATTTCCAGAATCAAGTTCCACCCGCGCTTTGAAGTTTTTGAAAGTTGCAAACACATCTGACTTCTTCTTAATAGGGTACACCCAATATCTCCTGGAGTAGTCATCAATAAATGAGACAAAGTATTTTGCTCCGCCTAGGGATGTAACTGGTGCTTGCCATACGTCAGAGTGAACCAATTCTAGAATACTTTTGCCTCTAGAATTTGACGTGTTGAATTTTAATCGGTGTTGCTTACTTGTTATATAATGCTCACACAAGGTAAGTGATACTTTTGTTAAGCCTAGAAGTAGTTTTTGCTCCACAAGGACTTTCATTCCTTGTTCTGACATGTGTCCAAGTTTCTGATGCCATAGCATTGCAGAATCTGAACTACATGAGGCAACAGAGGCTTTTGCTTCTAGTAAAGTCTCTCCTTTCAGCATGTACAAATTTGCTGCTATCTTTTCGCCTTTCAACACCACAAGAGCTCCACATAACACCTTCATGATTCCTTTCCGTGTTTCAATCTTGCTTGCATTATTATCCAACAATCCGTAGGATAATAAATTTTTCTTCAGGCCTTTCACGTGCCGCACATCTCGAACAACTTTAATTGTTCCATCTTACATCTTTAATTTGATGGTTCCTACGCCAACGATCTCTAAGGCATGATCATTGCAACTATAAACAGATCCTCCTGAGACAGGTTCATAATGATGGAACCATTCTCTTCTTGAGGCCATGTGATATGTTGCTCCTGAATCAATGAGCCATATATCTGCAAATCTTTTTCTGCCTTCCATGGTGGTTGACACTTCACAACATAGAGCATCTCCATCATCTGAAGTGTTTGCGGTATTGCCTTGTGGATTGGAGTTTTTATTTAGACTCCAACAATCCTTCTTCAAGTGACCCTTCTTTCCACAGTTGTAACACTTTAAATTTTTCTTGCTTCTCGATTTCGATCTACGATGTTTGTGACTGCTGATTTGGATACATTCTGTTGATCTCCCTCTCATCGTTGTCAACGCTTCTGCTTGTTGCAGATTTACGTGTATGTCTTCCTTGTTCTTGCGCCGATTTTCTTCTTGTAGAACAGCAGCTGCAACGTCATCGAAGATTAGACTGGTGACATTACTGTCTGTCAAGTTGATGATGAGTTGATCATACGAATCAGGTAGACTTTGAAGTAGAAGTTCAGCACGTTCTTGTTCTCCTATTGTACATCTTAAGGATGTAAGCTGAGAAAATAATGTGTTCAGTGTGTTTAAGTGCTCCGTCACTGAAGTAGATTCTGACATCCGGAGAGTATACAATTTCCTCTTAAGGAAAATTTTATTGTGCAACGATGTGGCCTCGTACAATTTAGTGAGATGATCCCATATCTCCTTAGCTGTCTTCTTCTCCTCGATGCTTGACAATACTTCATCTGCTAATGCTAGATGAAAGTTCGCCATAGCATTCCCGTCCATCTCGTTCCATTTGTTGTCATCTGTGAAATCTACCGGCCTTTCACTGATAGCTGCTAGACAACCGTCTTTCCTCAGGATGGCCTTCATCTTCAATTTCCACAGTGAGAAATTTCTCCCATTGAATTTTTCAATATCAAATTTCGTTTCCATAGCTTCTTTTACGGATAGCTCCCACTATTTCACTAGCGTGAATAGTTCTCTAGAACCTTCAAAGAATGGGTAATAACTTCTTACTTTCTTATGTTGGAGGATCCACCTTTTGGTGGCAACCACAAAGACAATAAGCATATATTACACACTCTAATCTTGGTCGGATACCAATTGTTGCGGAAGACGACTATCGAATAGAGCAAAATCGTAACTGATAATTTGAGAAAATAAAATATGAATATAAAAGAGACACAAAATTTACGTGGAAAACCCCTAAATAATATAGGGTAAAAACCACGGGCAACGGTAGAAGAATTTCACTATGAGAAAATAGGAATTACAACTTCTCTCGATCTACCAAGGAGAAAACAATGATAATTCTCTCTTGATAAAAAGGAGAAAACAACTCTCAAGAAACTCTCTAAATTCTCTCTAGTATTGGAAGAAAGCTAGAATGCTTTGAGATGGATTTGAAGCTAAATGAGCTAGGATATTTATAGTTGAAGCTTAAGGATTAATTTGTAAATACCCTAAATTACAATGACTAAAAAATGCTTTTATCATTTTAAAAAAATCAACAATATTAGACTTGAATTTTCGGTGCATTGATTATAGGCACTTTCGGTCTTATATTGTTGACTTTTCAACACTTTAAATAAATCAAATTAAAATTCATTATTTAATAATATGAAAAATATTATGTTTTGAATAGGGGAAATTAGGTTTGATGAGTTATTAAAGTTTAATGTCAAGCCTGTGGTGATGTGAAGCAAAAATGAGCAAACGTGCTAATCCTACTAGAACCGGTACGTCCGGTCCATATTTTAACTGTTGTCTAATAATATTTTTAATATATTATTTTCAAAAATATATTTAAAGTTATAATTTTTAAATATTATTATAATAATAGTACCAATTAGATTAACGTTCAATTCACTGATAAACTCAATTAAATCAAATTTACGCACTTTGAAATGCTATCAATTAGGCAAAAATGATGGGTCTTTCAATAACCAACTACCTTAATTAAGAAGGATGTAAAGAAACTTTCATATATATATATATATATATATATATATATATATATATATATATATATATATATTTGACAAATTTAAATCTAACATTATTATAATAATAATATCAATGATTAGGAATCTACAACTCGTAATTTAAAAAAAAGAAGAGAAAATAGAGTTGAGAAACTTGATCAGGTGATCACATATATTTACTTAAATCTCATATATACTTTTTTAAATTTCCAAATTATATAAAAAAATCTTCCATATACTAAATGATAATGCACGTTTGAATTCATTTTTTTATTTTATGTTGTAACTATAATAGTATTGATCGAAACAAAATTCAATCAACTTATAAAAAGTACTTTCATATACAACATGTGAATCATTAAGAGTCACATTAATACTTACATGAAGATTGAGAGATTCCATTCATTGATTCAATTATAGCGACGTTTCTTATCTTTTTATTAAACCTGTGTGTAAGCACGTCTCCATGCAAATGTACTCTTGGGCTTTAAAATTCAATGAAATATATCTTACACGTGAGAGACAAATCCAGATTTCACTGTACAAATTTGAATAACAGATTTGGATTTAAATATCCGAATTCATTGTCTACAAAAAGTAAAATGAGTTGATATAATATGATCCAAATCTTTGAATATTAGATATTCTAGTTTGTTCATGAATCTACATATTATCAGAATTTTCGATTCCCGACAAAAATCTTGACGGACGTCAAACAAAAATCAACATTCATGCCATCATCATCCCTAATGCTTCTTGAGCAAAGTTATAATCGTCGGCAGCAGGGGCAAAAGGATAACGATGATCAAAATTATGGCAGCAATGACCGCTATACACGCCCATTTCCTGGAGCTCTTTTGCTGTTCCCTCGCTTCTTGAAGCTGCTCCGTCCCTCGTCTCACGAAGGAGCTGGCATGTGCCACGTTGCTTTCGATGTCGTTCAACTGATGACCCTGAGCTTCGACGAGCGCCGCCATGTCCAGGAATATCTGATGAAGCTCGAGCAAATTCTTTTCGATCTCTTTAACGGCGTCGTGTCGCTCTTGAATCTCGGAGATGGTGTCCAAGATTTGACCCCTCCCTTGTTCTTGGATCGCCCTTTGGAGGAAGCTCTCGCTTTCGCCGCTCGATATCAAATTCTCGATCGTCTCTTCGTCGGGTTTTTGCCCGGTGATGGTGAAATAGCGACGTTCGACGGTTTCTTTGTACTCCGCTTGCATCCTAGCTCTAAAGCCTTGGAACTCATCCATCATTGTCTTCAGTTTCTTACCCAACCCGCTAACGACCGAGGTCCGGGTCCTGTCGGAGGACGATCCGGGTCCACAACCCAGAACATTACGGGCGGCGGCGTTGGATTTCTCAAGAGCTTCGAGCTTTCCTTTAATGACTTTAACTCTCTTGAGAACCTGTTCGACGTCGGAGTCCATTCGGGCACGTAGCTGCTTCATGGTTTTGGCATTGTGCGTCGTCTTGCATTCCTCGTTGGCTTGTTGTAATGCTTTGTACAGCCCCTCCACGGCTTTCATGTCTTCTTTAACATTCTCGACGTCCTCAAAGAATTTGTCGAGGTTAACGGTTTCGGTTCCGGCTTCCACATCATCCATGTACGCCTGTTGTTTCAGGTCCGTGTATTTCCTGAACGAACTCGAGATTAAATCGTTCATCTTGACTCAAATTATTCAATACAATTACTCTCTGTGAAAAAGGGTTGATGTTGGCGTGTGATTGACTAATCTAAATATTTTATTTGTAATGACTTTTTCCTTGTTGGGTTAAAGGCTATCTTCCTCTTCATTGACTGCTAACTGGAGGGTGATTAGCAATCTAGGAGGAAGACAGGAGGAAGACAGAACTGTCGGAAATCAAAGGGAAATAAGACAGGAGGAGTTTACCTTGTTTTCTGTAAGGAAAAAAAATATGTGAGAAAATAGTTAATCCAAAAATGGACATGATTTTCTTGTTCGCCATTAGTGGTTGACCTGGTCATCCCTGTTTCTATCCATCCATCAGACATGGCTAAAATAGATATGGTGCAATTCACGCATGTCTTACGTGAGGCTAATATGACGACAGGCAAGGTGACAAGAAGATATGAAGTATCAGTTCATGCTGTTGCACTGACAGAGCTACTGCTTCTGCTTGACTCGGACCATGAATGGCGGCTATTTTAACTAGATGAAAAAGGCAGAGAAGAAAACATGAAGATTCCGAGATGATTGGATAAAAGGGACAAGACCGGATGCATTCGTTTTTGTTTGAAGGTTCCTCTTCCATTCCATTTTTAGACAACTTAAGCTTTCTGGGTAACTTGTTGTGTTTAATACTTTGAGAACGATGGTGACTTTGAAACATGATTTGATTTAGTCATAGATAGTACCACTAGCAATTTGATGCTATACAAAATCAAGGTTAAATTATGATTTTAGTCCCTTTATTATATTCAATTTTAACATAATTTAATTTCTCTATATTTATAATAGGCTTAATCAGCAAATTGGTTCATGAATAATATCCAAATTCACTTTCTAACTTTTTTTAATAAGACACTAAGTTCTTATATATATATATTATAAAAGTTGAAACAAAATGACAAATGTTTCAAAAAGAAATTAGGCACGAGTTCGTACCTGATTGATTTTATATTTATAGGTTTGTTATTTGTTTATTATATTTATCTACTAAGCTATACCTACAAGTTATGTAGGGATGGTTGAATAGCCCCGATGCTTAGCCAAGAAAAATCAAAAATATTTTATTAATAACATTTGTTGTTATTGTGGGTTGATTTATCACAAAAATCATATTATTAAATAATAATTAATTATCTATTAAAACTATTTAACTGAATAATATGTTATAGTGACGAGAGATGTTGTTTTAATTCCGATTAAAATTAAATTTTAACTTCAATCCCGAATAATTTTTTTTACATTCTTACAAGAATAATGAAGTTAATGACATTTATTAATACCTTATTTTTCATACTTTAGAAGTTTAGTCTTTAGTTTTAGAAGTAGTTGCATTGGTACGGTCTAAACGTAGTATATAGCATGATTGCAAGGAAAGGGCAGGTAATATTAGTAACGGAAACCTCATGCTATATACTAGGTTTAGACGGGTACCAATGCAACTACTTCTAAAACTAAGGACTTAACTTCAAAAGCATGAAAAATAAGGTATTAATAAATGTCATTAACTTCATTATTTTTGTTGATGAGGAAAATGAATTACATTGATCATTTATTTATTTTTTCTTAACTAAACACTGAAAAATAAGGAAAATATTTTCCAAAAATTAATTACAGTGAAATAAACACTCTTAGACTCTACAGCTTATTTTTGACTTCTTCGACCGTCATTAATGGTCAATCATCATCCATCAATCGTAATTCACAACAAGATCGACATGAAAACAATCACATTTCACTTCTCTCTCTCTCTCTCTCTCACACACACTCTTGTTTGAATTAGTTTTACACGAAACTCATCTAAAATTGACGAAAATCAATTTAAATATTCAATGTTCTAATACTTTGCTCTCCTCTGTTTCGAGTTGTGTTATTTGCTTTATGTAAAGAATGTTTTGTGTTGTTTACATTTTCAATCAAACCCCTCAAATATGAGAAAGTTCCTAAGCCTAAAAGATAGTTACTTTACCATTAATTCCGTGAATTTGAAAGAGATTTAAAAAAAAATCTAAATTAACAATGATATAAGATGTTGAGATATGTTTAACGGTGCCTAGAATGATTATAAAAGATGTAAGAAAATGACAGTTTCTGACAGTAACTAAAGTGAAAACACCTCTGTAATTAATAAGACGATGAGATAAATAAAATAAAAGATAAATTTTTTAACTTCCATTTCATCATACGTCAACTTTAAACTGTTCATCATTCAAATGTTGATAGATTAATAATTCAATACTTATATTAAAGTTAAAATCAAAATTTAATGTAATATTAAAATCGTCAACATCAAATTATATTCGAGTACAAACCTAGGCCAACCCAAAACTTAATCTGGCCCGGGTGAACTCGAGCCCAAAATTACACCAATGTAAAAGAAATCAAAACACACCAACCAACCTGACCAAACCCAACCAACACTCAAATTCTCCCTCAAACTTTTCAACAACTATCCATCAAATCCCTTATAATCTACTCCCACGATCTCATCAGCTTCGGGAGGGACAACATCTTGATCATGTTTTTTAAGATATAGAGAAAGAAAAATTAAAAAGGAAACAGTTAGAAAATAAAAATTCAGGGCAGATGTACTAAACTCTATAGGAAGTCAAGTGTATTCTCATTATTTTAAAAAATGGTGAAATTTAGTTTAATATGTTAGAAAATAAAAATTCAGAGGCGGATGTACTAAATTCCATAGGGAGTCAAATGCATCTCCTTGTTTTAAAAAATGATGAAATTTAGTTTAATATGTTAAAAAAATTACATGCCCATTATTTATAAGAGAAAAATGTTAAAATTTTAGAACCACATTAGTAAATTTTTATATCCACCACTGGAAGGATCAGAAGAAAAGAAGAATTAAGAGGCAAGCTGAGCTATTTTGCAGATTATCGTCCTTATTTTCGATCTTAAAGTAATTGATGTGACTCTATTTTATCGATGTGTATATAATTTATAAAGAAAATATTTTTAATAATTTGAAAGCAATTTTAATAAAAAAAACATTTTAAAATTCAGTGATTACATTTATACAAACCTAAAATTTAGTGCATTTGAGATAGTTTACCCTACATATAATTTCACAACTTTTTTCGTTCAAATTATGAGGTCGATATGCATTAAAGGCAAAGGTCGTTATCTTGGAAGAAAAATAAAGAATTTCAGCCACCGGCCAAGCTACCTATAGAATATCCACAAGTCCACCGCCCCCCCCCCCCCCCCTCCCTTCAATAATTTCAACTTGCTATTAAGATGTATTATTTAATGCCATTTCAAATCATAAAAAATAAATTAATTTATCATGTTAGAATCAAACCATAAATAAAAATAAAATCATATCAGAATGTAATCATGTTAAATCATCAAGAATAAAAATAAACACTAGATTTGCATAAGTGTACCCAAGTTTATTGTTGGAGATTACTTAGAAGGTTGAGATCTTTGAATCTTTCTTTGGTTGTGATCTTTCAAGAATATAGAATTCCCTTTAGTATAAACTCTCCGACGGGATAAGAAAAAAATACAAGATTTCTATTTCCTGGGGACCATATCCCCTTTATATAGTTGATTGAATCAATTATTGTTTGTACTTCTAACTCGGCCTCTCATCAAATTATAAATACAACTTTAATAGTATCTATCATTCTATTTCCATGATACTTCTAATAACGTATGACTTTATAACATAATTGGTCACTTAATTTTTTTCATATTTTATGATAACAATATACATTATAAATATGCGCCCCATAATTATGGATTTTAATCCAACAATCTCCCACATGGGCAACTTATGTTTCCTGATAAATGTATAACCTTATGAGCTCAAAATTTATTATCATATAATAAGTATTCTATAACAATCTCGTTCATCAACTATATCCACATAGGATCAAAGTGGCCTTTGCCATATCTATCATGACTAGATCCATCAATGGTCACACATATAAACACATTCAAATGACATAGATCAATCATGGAGCGTAGCATAGAAATTGCATGCAATGTGAACCGCACATGTCTATTTCCAACTTGTCCTCTTTAAACATAAGTGATGCCAATCTCTAAACAATAAAAGAGATTGAATAAACCGAATACTTTATTTATGATCTAAAAAACCAAATACAAAAATGTCAAAAACCGAACATAAGGAAACAAATCTCCCACTCAAACAATAATATCATCAAGTGATATAACACCCATATGAACAGTGTGCTCATGATAGACCTTAGGCACTAAGCTTTTTGTGAACGGATCTGTTATCATGGAGTTTGTTCCAATGTGTTCAATGAATATTTATCCATTTTGCACTATCTCCTTCACAACTATGAACTTTATGTCAATATGCTTTGACTTGGACAAGTTCCTATTGTTGTTGGAATATATTTCTGTAACACCCATATCTCATATACGTCTCGTATTACAAGTTAAAGATATCACATCAATTTAACAAAATGCTTAAAGTTTTGTTTTATTTAAAACAACCCTTTTTACAAATTTAAAATATTTTTCCTTTAATATGCATAGTCATAATATTATGCTTTATTGTTCCAAACAAAGATAATTTTTATGCAACAATTTGGCAGTTCCAAGTTATTTCGTATTTATATTAAACTGCCTACTATTGATTGACTTAAAACCATTTAATACTCTCCATAATATTTATTCTTAAATACAATTATAACTAATATTAACCAAAATTTAAAGCCGTCTTAAATTATTATTACAAGCCCTTTTTAGAATAAATCTGATAAAGCAACCCAACAGATATAATGTACATGCCACTAATCAGTCAAAGTTAGGATGACTTACTGATTCTATGAGTAGGTTTGATTTCCATAAAATGTTGGCAAACTCCTTACTTCACGTCCTCTACTTTATTCGACCCTATGCATGAAAATTTTCACGCGTTAAGTAAAACTTAGTAAGACAAGTAAATAAATCAGAGTGAACTATATCAGTAGAATATCATAAATCTTTAAAAATTCAAACCGAACTTTCCAAGCCATATTTTTCCTCATCAGAAATTTGAAAATCATGGTCTCGTAATTTTATCAAAATCACAATAACCAACATCAACAATATTATACTTTGCATATTATAATGTACATGCTACTAATCAGTCAAAGTTAGGATGACTTACTGATTCTATGAGTAGGTTTGATTTCCATAAAATGTTGGCAAACTCCTTACTTCACGTCCTCTACTTTATTCGACCCTATGCATGAAAATTTTCACGCGTTAAGTAAAACTTAGTAAGACAAGTAAATAAATCAGAGTGAACTATATCAGTAGAATATCATAAATCTTTAAAAATTCAAACCGAACTTTCCAAGCCATATTTTTCCTCATCAGAAATTTGAAAATCATGGTCTCGTAATTTTATCAAAATCACAATAACCAACATCAACAATATTATACTTTGCATATACTTTCAATTCAGACACATTTCAAAACTTTCATATTATCAAAAAATTATCACTATATCACTATTGTGTTGCTTTCCCACAAATGCCACGAAATTTTTTATTTTGTAGTGTTTGTTCTAAAAACATCACAAGATGTATAAAGTTAACGACGTTTGTTCAAAAATCTACTAAAAATACCGTTACGAACCCATTTTGATATAGTGATAATTTCCTACTTTAATATTTTATTTTGAACTTGAAAAATAGATAATAAAGTTTTATAAATATTAATTATTATGAGACTTTAACCCTGTTTGGTGACAGAGGTCAGGCAGATCCGGACGAGGACTGAGATATGTTTTCCAGTGTCTAATTATGAAGAATCATTCGTCATCAACGTTTGGTTTAGAAAAGCAATAGCTTACATCGAATGATTTGGTTCCACGGCAGCACGGCCCACCACCGCCGACTAAACCATCGGTTTTTGTTGCATTGCATGCTTTTGTCTTACTGCCTCAATCACTCTCACTATCACATCCCTTCATCCGCATCATCTGGGGACATCCCCTTACGAAAAGTATATTAAGGGTCCAGATTCGACTGTCGTTATCTGGTTGCTCACAGCCACTTCTTATTTATTCAGTATTCCAGTCGCACCCATTAACTACCAGCTCAAGAAAGATGTCATCGCACCACCTCTATGAGCTCGACTCCACAACCGATTCCGTTGCCTCCTCGCCGCGATCCGAACACCATACTCCTCAAGACGCGCTTGCGCGTGTAAGGTTCATGTGCAGTTTCGGCGGCAAGATCCTTCCTCGGCCGCACGATAATCAGCTGCGGTACGTCGGAGGCGAAACTCGCATTGTCGCCTTCCATCGCTTCACCCCCTTCTCATCGTTCCTAACCAAGCTCTCCAAACTCTCAGGCAATCCACTAAACCACAATTTTCTTTTAATGATTTCTGGATTCATATTTGTCATTTTGATTCATTTGGTTCTTTGATTAGGAATTGGCAACGTGAGTGTTAAGTATCAGTTTCCGAACGAGGATCTTGACGCTTTGATTTCAGTGACGACGGATGAAGATCTGGAGAACATGATGGAAGAATATGATCGGCTAGCTCAGAATCAAAACCCTCGGCTGGCTCGGCTTCGGCTTTTTCTTTTCTCAAAAGGCGATGACGGTTCACGAGCCAGTAGCATCAGTTCACTTCTTAACGGCTCGGTTAATCGTGAAAATTGGTTCTTTGACGCGCTTAACGGCGGTGCCGGTGCTTCAAGGCTCGAACGTGACCGTTCCGAGGCTTCCTCGATAGTATCAGAAGTGCCCGACTATTTATTCGGATTGGACAACTCCGATGAGACCCAACCTCGTGACCCGAAATTAAGGACACATCAACTTATGTACGAGAATAACTCGGTTTCGGACCCCGGTTCTCCTGCCCCCGTTGTTTCTTCTTCTCCTTTGTGTTCCACGTCATCAGTTCCTGTTGTACCTTACGTGAGTAAACCGGATAACCCAGAACCGGTTTTGAAGTCGAAGCAAAATCAAACAGAGAGCTTCGTGGAGCAACCCGTTTCGCAGCCAACGACATATTCGGGTAATGCTCCTACGTGGCATTATGTTCAGGATTCTCATTATTCTGTTCCTCCCGTACAGCCAATACCCGTTTATTATGTACCGGGTCACACACAACCCGGAAACCCTCATGCTCAAGTTCAACAACCACCCTTTCAAATCCGTGCACAGTATGTCCAACAGTATCCAAGTTCATCGGGTCAAACACCCGTCGGGTATCACCAGCAAGTTCCTGGAGTGGGTCAAGCATCGCCCGTAGATCCTTATGATCCGACATGGAGAGTGGGTCCTGATGGAGCAACCCATCAAGTATATTATGGAGTTACGAATACGGGCCCGATGGGAGTTTACCCACGAATGGTGGGGAAGGAATTGGGTAGAAGCGGCTCCGGTATGACACATGATCGGATCTCCCACTCAGGACACTGATTATCAGTATTGTGTCGTTTAATAAATACACAAGATTCATTGGTTGAGTTGGACGTATGCAATAACTATATTTATTTATGCTCGCTTTGTATTGCCTTTAATGTTATTCTATTTTAACATATAAAATTTTCTTGTCGCCCAGGAAAAATAAGTTGCTTCAAATAATAATTGCATTAATATACAGTAAAAATAAAAGTAATTAAAAAAATTGATGAAGAAATTATAAAATTTTAAATTAAATGACCTAAATATAAACACAAACAAAATTGAGCAAAAAAAAAAAAAAAAAGCAGTTTATACTTGATTATAAAGTTGCGAAGAGTTTTAGAAGAGCTTGGATGGTATTTCCTTTTTTCTATCTTGGTTAGAGCATGTTCACGACCCTACATCAAAGATGTTGGTTTAATTGGGTGAAAGAAAAATTAAAAAAATAATTAATTGTCGGAACAAGTTTCATAATTTCAACTACTTTTATGTTTATTTTTAATATAAAATCTATTTGAAAATTTCAGATCTTACTTTACCTATAAATATTTAAAGAATTATACATATCTAAATGCATTCGAATCTCAAATATTACACAATATCTATATATGTCGATTAAACTAAAATTCATTTCCACACCGTGCAATTTGTATTTCTTAATGATTGATAAATGATGACTGTTCATTGTAAACACATGTTTTCGTCTGCAAAATACTTCAACTGTTATTTCTATTTTTAAATATACAAAATTCACCTCTTCACCACCGTCGAGACAATGACCGAAAATTTTGTTTATTTTGAAAATAGTTAAATTATTTAACATTAATCCTGGAAAATATTTAATCGCGTAAAAATAAAAATTCACTATTTTAATGTTCACATCGAGTTCGATTTCGGGCATCAACTTGTCAGGTCAACACTATTTCATATTAAGAATGAACAGCTTGAAAATTGTCTAAATCAAAATTTATCTTTACGCTAATAAAATATAACTTTATTAAAACATAAAATAAAGATTTAGATTTATAATCATATTTTATTTAATAAAAATTCACATATGAAATTTTATCATGACATATATTCAAAGACCACTTTTATAACTATATATATTACTTACTAAAATTCATACATAAAATCTATAACAATTCTTTTAAGCAATATAACTATTATAGAGCTTTTCTAACTCATTTCATAATATAACCATATTAAGATATTGCAGACACTTATAAGTATTTATGCCAACTAGAAATCAGATCAATAGTAGGAATGTCATTATTATTATCGATAAGTAGTCTTCGATGATTGATGTAAAGTTCAACTCCTTACTCCACTCGTTTTCTTTTACCTACGCGTGAAACCATCACACGCTAAGTATACACTTAGTTAGACATTATAAAATATAAAATAAAACATATCGATATATAAAATGTCACATAAATCACAACACATAAATTATCATATAATAATATATGAGGATGTAAAATAGATTTTCAAACCTTTCTTTAAACTGAAATCGGAAAATAATTGGTTCATAGTACATAGGTCAGAATAAACAATTCAATAAGACACTTTATGTCAAATCAAAATATTCGATGAAAGCTTTACTTTAAACGAATCAAATAAACATGCACTTTTCACATTTATTTAACTAAGAATCCAATATATAACAAATGAGAATGCGTGGTATGTGAGTCAGACGAGTGTGCGCAATATGCAGTCGCAATTGTCAGAAATAAATTGCACTCTTGGTGCTAGGTAGAAATATAGGTGATGTAGAACACATTATCACTATATTAAATTAGAAATCAAACATGGCAGCTCACAACGTCAAAACATCATAAAACCCATAATACACATACAATGCCAGACATATGTACACAAATTTGGTATTTCTAGTAAAATAAAAATGTTTCATTCGTTTCAACTAGTCGGTTGTTCCAATCACACCTTAAAATGATTGGTGGCGACTCAAAAAACTTCATTTCAAAAAGTCAATTCGTTGCAACTAGTTGACTTTTCCCAAGGGCAGGTTGCGACATTCATATATTTGATATAGTTGAGCATTATTGTTACTAGTGCTCCGTTATAAAAGAATAATTAACAAAGTCCACATAGTACACCTCACTACTTTCACTTGTTCATTCTTTTGGTCAAGTTTTAATAATACATGTTTTCTTAGGATCAATTTTATTTTATAGTATATGTTTGCTAAGTTAGTTGTTATAAGATGATTTCCTATATATTCATTATTAGAATTTTTACAATCCGAATTATATTGTTTGTTGATTGAACAAAATGATTAGACCTAGAATTCAAATCGGTTATGTAAATTCTTTTGTAGAATTTTATTTTTTACATTAGTAAAAAATTCTCTTCTTTAGTTGGTAGTTATTTTCATTAAGAGTTTTCTATGTAATTTTTCTCTTTTTCATACTATCATTATATTTGTCATTATCTTATAACAAATTGATAAAAGAACATTTCGAAAAACATATTTCAAAAAGTAATCTCGTATTTTGTGAATCAAAATGCCTTTAAAGAATTTTGTGGAAGAGATAGAGAATAATATTAAAAAAAGCTTACAATCTCATATATATATCTTTATTTAATTATTTGACATTTTATAGGTGAAAGGGTGATCAAAGAAAAAATGTAACGCCCCGAATCCCAGGTTAGTAGTTCGGGTTAATCCAAAGGCCAAAGTTGAGCCATTGGACCTTATATTATATTAGTTGGACCAAGTTGTTTTTAGTGGGCTTGATTTAGAGCTCAAGAGAGTTAATGAAGGGTGATGAGTAAAGTATGAAATAAAAGTAAAGGGGGTAAAAGTGTAGTTGCCCATAGCTATTTTGGAAGCTGAAAATCTCTCCTTATGTTATGTTTTCACCGTGAACAACCCCTTACACAACTCACCAAACACTCATCCTATCTTCTCATCTTTATCTCTTTTTCTATCTTCTTTAAGTAAGAATCTCAAAGAAATTCAAGCCTAGTTGGATCCATCCAAGGTAAGATTATTAATCCTCATCATTCTAGCTTTATTTTGAGCTACCTTTCACTAGTTTTTATCCATAGAACCAAAAATGGGTCTTGAGAGTTTTATGAGAATCTATGGATTCTAGCTAAGTTTTGAGTTATAGGGAGTTTGTTTAGATGTTATTCAATCCCTGGATGGATTGATAATCCATTTTCTCATTTTGTTTAGTGAAGGAGATAGGAGAAAGCTCAAGAGCTAAAGGAAAAGAAAAGTTGAATCTTGAGTGAGTTGAGAAAGTTTCTAGCCATCCAAGAAGCAAGGTAACACCTTTACAACTCTTCTATACTCTTAGTGAGTCATTAGAAGTTCAAAATAGTTTAAATGGTTGAGTTGAGCATGATGAGCATTTCCATGGTGAAATTCTTGTTTTAGAGTTTTAAATATGTTTAAAGTCTCTATTATGACCTTCGTTGATCAAATAAAACTTTAAGCATGTTTGGGGACCTCAGTAAGGTCTTTGGGATTGAACTATAGCATTTTAGTATGTGTTATATGATTTTTTGTAGGTAAAGTAACAATACTATTGGGATAACATCGATACTAGTTCTTTGTTTTGGGCAAATTCTTGAGTTTCTGGGCAAAAGTATCGATAATCTTTCAAGAGTATCGAAACTTTGGGTCATAGTTTCGAAACTCCCATAAAGTTTCAAAACTAGGCAGAACATAATGTTTAAAAGTATTGATACTTATATAAAGTATCAAAACTTTTGCAGTAGTATCGATACTCTTGGGTTAGTATCGATACTTTCAGTCTATTCTGGGCAAAAATGTCAGTTTTTAAGGGAATTAGACTTGAGGTACCCCAAAACTTATTTTTATCATCAAATAAGACTGCAAGTGAGAATATTAATGATATTAATTACACTTAGAAACAAGATTTATTAGGATGACATAAAAATAGCCTTGGATGATGCTCGGGAAACAACCACGACACCTGAATTCCTTTAGAAAATGCTAGCATTATCGAAAGTATAGATTCAGTTCGGATATATCTTTAGGTAGGGTCGAGGCCCTTCTGACTAACTATGTTTACTGAGGCCTTAACACTCTTTAGAAGAAAGGGTGGGTTAGTAAGGGGTATGGTTTCCGATGCAGAGAATTCCAAGGGCCATATCCAGAGTGGACTAGAGGGGTATGTGAGCTCCGAGATGCAGAACCCTCAGCGCACCATGATGTCTACCATAGCATAGAGAGTGAGTATTCGAGAATACTCATTAAAGCAATTTTAAAGCATACTAGCTTGGGCGCAAGGTCCAACACTCAAGTAGTGGGCTAGTATAACAGAACAGATAGTAGAACATATATCAGTAGACTTGATAGCTTGAGCATGTCGTGAACACTTTTAGTATGGCTTAGTTGTTAGTGTGGTACTGAGCTAGTTAGTTCAGTGTTTGGAATTTATTTCCTTACGTAGGTTAGTCGAGGAGCAGTCCAAGGACTTTTTTACAGTAGTGATCCAGACCCAACTAGTGCAAAGTACGTCTCAAGTTCATCTTTAGAGGGCATGTATATTTGTAAACCCTTATTTGTATATTTTTGTATGAGTCATAACTCATTTTATACTATGATATGTATGATTTAAACATTATTTTGGGAGCTTCTAATGTAAACTATTTTATTTAAATTGTACTTGACTTATTTTAGCATGAGTGGTTACAAATGGTCATTTTAAAAGAAACAAAATTGGTTAGCCACTCCTGTGGTTCCATGTGGTATTATGATCGGTCGACAATATGTCGTACTGGTTTAGGGTGTTATAAAAAATCATTTAAAAAATGCCACATAATCTAATTTAAAGAAAGTTGTCTAGAGATTAAAATTTAGGGATTAAAAAGAAGGATAAAAAGTTAAAAAAATAGTTAGTAAATATAGGAAGTTGGTTTAACGTATCTATTATAAGCATTTGGTATTTGAGAAAACAATTGATTTGTTACCTGAAAATTAGCAAACAAACCCTCAAAAAGCACAAATTAAGGCATCAAAGAATGTATAAAAACCCCCATCTTGCTCTTCTTCTTCCACACTGAATAAAGCTCAAAGCATTTCCCATTTGTTTTCTCATTTCAAACATTCCTCAAATGGAGTCCAAGGTAAGGGCGATGTTGGGTCTCATCCTAGCCTTGGCAATGGTGCTCGAATGCGTCAAATGTCACACGGTCAGCCTGGATTCATGCAATCGGGATGGCAACGGTAGCATCGAATGCGAGACCGATGATTTAATGGATACCGAGTTGTATATTCGACAACTTGCAGGGGGAAGGAAAGCCATCAGCTATGAGGCAATCAGGCATAATGCGATCCCATGCAGCCGGCCTGGACGCTCTTACTACAATTGTAATGGACGAGGAAAGCAAGCTAACCCTTACACTCGTGGTTGCACTACAATGACCCATTGCCGTAGGATTTATGAATGAAGACAACATTTCCCAACACCGAGGATCAAATATATATATATATATATATTCATACGCATAATATATTTTGTCAAATCCTTCAATAATGTTCATTTGAAATGTGAAAAAAATGGGAGAGATGAGGAGAAATAATGATATGATCACTTCTATCTTGCTTTGAATGTAGTTTAAAGTTGTATGGTTTTTATATTTCAATCTAATCCATGAATCATTGAATTTCCAAATTGTTGTTAATCAATGGATACCATGAAACTTTATCGATTTCGGTACATCTTCTATATTCAATCCCACTACAAAGGAAACAAAAAACAAATTTTGATTATTTGGGGATTAATTGAAAATTTTTATAGTTAAGTGACAAAAATAAAAATATATTAATAGTTGAGTGACTAAAGAGAGAATTCACCTTTTTAAGTTAAGCGATACACGTGTGTGAATCTATTTACTCCAACATCAAACTTAGTATATTTCATTTTTAACTGCTTTCAATTTTTGGCTTAATCAAGTCAACTGCCTTAAGGCTTTAAGTATACATCTTTTTCTTTTTAAGTATCTAATTTTTTTTTATCAAAATAAGTACCTAAACTGTTAAATATAAATTTTTATTTAAGAGGAAAAATATATAATATTTTTATTTAACAAAAGAGTTAAAAGGTTTGAATCATATTATTTGTATTTGGAGGGACTAGAAACATAAATTATCCATTCAGTGAACCGGAGTCAAAGGTCACTAGCTAACCCTGTCTTGGTTGAAACAAAGTAAGGGCAATGACTGCTCGCCACAAACAATTTTTTAAAAAAGAGTCATATTTTTCACATTAAAATTCATTCTTATCTTCTTAGATTCAATGATAATTTTTTAATTTTTTTTACATAATATAAATTATTGAATAACGTACATAAATGGACTTTAAATTATGTTAATTTTTTTTATATTTTTAAAATTTTAAAAATTATAAAATAATCATTAAATTTATTGAACGGGTTACAAAATAATCATTATATATTATACAATAATTATATTTTGATAAGTTTGAGTATCATTTTATAATTTTATAATAGTTTAATAAGTTTAATAATCATTCTGTAATAATTTGATAAAATTTAATGATCTTTTATAATCATTTGGAAACTTTAATGACTATTTTGTAACTTCTAAAACTCTAGTGAGGAGAAAAATTATTTCAGCATAGTCTACTGACATTTTTTATATTTTACCCTAAATTGTTAGTTGCTATTATTTGAATAATATTGTGGAGTTTTTTAATATATAAAACATTTATATATATTTGATTAACATATAAATTTATTTTAATGACGTTATAATTGTAAAAAAAAAGTTTCTTATACATTTTGACAAAAACGATGTTATTAATTTATACGAATTGATAATATTATAAAAGTTGAGGGACCGAGTTATTCAAATTAAAGCAAAATCAATAACTCATAAATTAAGTTCAATAAAGGGACTAGAATCATGTTTAAACCTCTATAGAATAATCTTTCTGATTCGTCCCATTCTGGTCAAAACTAAAAGGCTTCATTCAACAATCAACTCTTGATCTTTATTTCTTTAGTTAGGAATCTAAATTACACTTTGATCAAATCAGATATCTAGATTATTATCAATAATTGAATTCATCAAGTAAATTCAGTGATGAAATATAGTTTTGTTCTTCTCTAAAACTCTCGGATTCCACCCATTGTGTCTGTATAGTGTATACATTATCATTTGCCAATTATTAGAAAAGATTCTGGACAAATACTACGTTGTAATCATACAAATTATTTAAAAATATGTTATCAATAATATTTAAAAAATTCTATTTTTCACTTTTCTTAAAAAAACTATTTTATTTTGGCACATAACATTTTCTGATAGTATCATATAATACTTTTTGATAGTGCTATCAGTTATGTGATAATTTTATGGTTTTATAATGTCATTTTAAATGGTAAAAGGTAACGGTGCGGATAAAAAAAATGTTTACATATTATATTATATTAGTTACCTAACATATATAGTATAGTTTTGATATTTGATAAACACAAAAATAGAGTTTAGGGGGTGATGGTGGAATTAAGCGGAACTTAAAACCCAATGGAGAATAAAATTCTGAGTCAAAAAGGTGCCACTTTTTGACATTTTGAAGATAGTGTGGAGAAGGGAATAGCATTTTGAAGTTGATAACCTTTGAGTTTCTCGAGGTTGATTCACATTCACCAATTAAATTCCATGGCCACCCTTTGAATCTTCTTTGCTGAATTCATACACATTCCAACAAGTACAATCTCTGCACTTCCTCTAATGATATGAAAACCAACAACAAAAACAAGAACCCAGTTTCTGTTTTTCTTTCTTCATTAATCTTTCTTCTATCTTCTTCACCTCTGTTTTGCCATGGGGTTGATATAATCCGACCAGGTGACACCGTGAAAGATGGCGAGACGTTGTTGTCTGAATATGGGATTTTCGAACTGGGATTTTTCAGCCCTGAAAATTCCAGTTCTAGATATATCGGAATATGGTACGAGGTTGATGTAAAAGCAGTTGTATGGCTTGCAAATAGAGATAAACCAATATCTGATAGAAATGGAGTTTTGAGGATTGGATTTGATGATAATCTGATTATTCTCGACGGGAACAGCATTTCAGTTTGGTCCTCTAATGTTTCGGGTTTGTCATCGAACAACACTGCTGCATACATTTTTGCCTGGTATGAGAGTGCCGGTGAATCCTGCAATAGGGGAGTTTCGATTTTTCAGATCGTGGAAATCGGCTAATGATCCTTCTCCGGGGAACTACAGCGCAGGGATCGATCCTAACGGAGGTCCTCAGGTTGTGATATGGGATCCAACGAGAAGAAGATGGAGAAGTGGACAGTGGAATTCAGTGATTTTCACAGGTGTTGTCAATATGAGTAATGTTGCTAGTGTCTTATATGGATTCAAGCTTTCTCAGGCTGATGAAAATAGGACTCAGTACTTCACGTATGATCCGTTGAACCCTTTGGATCTATTGCGGTTCCGAATCAGTTGGGATGGATTCGAACAACAGTTGAGGTGGGATGATGGTGAGAAGAAATGGACTATTTTGCTATCACAACCTGACCCTGCTAACAGATGTGATCTTTACAACTATTGTGGGAATTATGCAACTTGTGACAACTTTGTTTCTCAAAGTACTTGCAATTGTTTGCAAGGGTTTAGGCCAAAGTTTCCAGATCAGTGGACAAGAGGGAACTGGTCGGGCGGGTGTGAATGGAGGGTCGAACTGCAGTGTCAAAGGACCAATGGGACTGCAGGGGGAAATGGATATGGTAAACTGGATGGGTTTAAGCAATTAGTGTGCATGAAGTTTCCTGATTTAGCAAACTTGTGGTTATCGGCAAGGAGCTTAGATGCTATTGAACGAAGTTGCTTGGGGAATTGTTCATGTACTGCATATGCATTTTTTTTCTGGCATTAGATGCATGATATGGACTGGAGATTTGGCTGATGTTCAGCAAATCGAACAAAGTGGACGTTTACAGTTCTTCTACCGCCTCCATCATTCCGAATTACATGCTTTTCGATACCCAAAAGTCGTCTTTTCTTGCTGAATTGCTTAAAATTTGCAGAATCTACATCATGTTGTTGACATGATTCTTTGATATATTAGTGAAATCCCATCATTTAGAGGCTAAAAAGAACCAAACTCGAATCTTATACAGGAATTTGATATTTCATGTTAGATTTTAAACAAATAATGGACATGACATATTTGTACAATTATTTCCATATTAACACCTTTAATCTTCAGTTCAAACACAGATGACAGGAGGAAGATACCCAAAGCTGTGATATTTATAGTTTCTCTGTTGGGGGCATTCTTCTTGGTGGTGTCTCTATGGCTGCTAAGGAGATACAAGAAGGATCTGAAAGGTATGAAACTCTATGTTAACACCGGACTCTTCGAACATATACCTGTATTTGCTACTCACATCCGAGTCTATCATAGGCATGATTTGCAGAGGAGGCAGCTTTAAGCTGTCTAGTGTGCCATTTGGTATTAATTTGTGAGCTTTTTTTTCCGGGTTTGTCTGCAGTTTCATCAATGGCGTGTTGCAAGGACAAGGATCCAGAGGTTTTCGATGAGTCCAAATCGAGCAAAGAATTATAAGAAGATCTTTCAGGAACATCAGACATCCTTACAGATGGGAATCAAGTTAATGGACCAGAGGTACCAATTTTTAATTTCAGCATTGTGGCAGCTGCAACAAACAACTTTTGTGCAGAGAACAAACTCGGGCAGGGAGGTTTCGGTGTCGTATACAAGGCGAGTTCCACTAAATTGTAATGGAAGTATTCATAACGGTCCTGGTCGTAGGATGTAATTTCCATGTTGAACTACATATCAGGATTTGATGGTCATCCTGATGTATAGGGATAACAGTTGATATGATAATGTTGTCGAGTTTAAAGTGATAACAATTGCTGTTAATTTTGGAAACAGGGAGATCTTCCTGGTGGTCAAGAAATAGCTGTAAAGAGGCTTTCAGGACAGTCAGGTCAGGGCTTAGAGGAGTTCAAGAATGAGATTATCCTGATAGCCAAATTGCAACACAGAAACCTTGTTAGACTATTGGGATGCTCTATTCAAGGGGAAGAAAAGATGCTGATATATGAATATATGCCCAATAAAAGTCTGAACGACTTTCTTTTCGGTATGTTCCCCCGATATTTCTCGTATTTGGTACATATTCGAAACTCATACCTGATAAAACTCTTTCATGGTAGCCAAAGAAGCACCGCTCGACTGGAGAATCTGACTCAGCATTATCGAAGGCAGAGGGCTTCTTTACCTTCATCGAGACTCGAGACTTTGAATAATTCATAGAGACTTAAAGGCCAGCAACATCTTGTTGGATGCCGAAATGAATCCGAAGATTTCAGACTTCGGCATGGCCAGCAACATAGTAAGTACTAGCATGCTCAATTTTCAGATAATATCACTGTCAAATCTAATGTTTGTCTTGAATTGCAGTGGATATATGTTTCCTGAATATGCCATGGAAGGCCTGTTTTCAGTGAAATCAGATGTTTATAGCTTTGGCGTATTGTTGTTGGAAATTGTTAGTGGACGTAGAAATACAAGCTTCCGCTAATCTGAGCATGCAAGCCTTATAGCATATGTAATTGAGAAGGCCAACTGTGAAACAATATAATTTTATGGAATTTGTTTCAATCGGGGTTTTTTTTTTCAGGCATGGCAACATTGGAACGAAGATAAAGCGATGGAAATCGTTGATCCCTCGATCCGGGATTCGTGCTCTCCAAACGAAGTGTTGAAATGCATACATATAGGCATGTTGTGCGTGCAAGACTCCGTGACGCATAGGCCGACGAAGGCCGCCGTGGTGTTGATGCTTGAGAGTGAAGCTCCTACACTTCCGATGGCAAGGGAAGCCACTTTTAGTTCCATGAGAAGTTCCATTGATGGTCAATACGTCTTGGACGGTCAAGAAATTGTGTCATCTAATGATGTTACAGCGACAATGATAGTAGAAGATAAATTAATTAGAAAACTCTATCATTTTTTTTTATAAAATATATGCATATTATTGATATTAAAATTGTAACAGAGTTACGTGTACATGCAAATTCAAATAAAATTATATTTGTAATTATGAAAGTTTTGTCTTTTCTATAGAATAGGATTATAGTATAGAAATTTGACATCAAAACTGGATCAATTTTATTATTCAACTTTTAAATTTCACTCGACTAATAAAACTAATAGGAAAAAAAATGTTACACTATTTTTAACTAAAAAATCCAACAGATTAAAAACATTATCCACAATCCAAGAATTAAATGTGCTTGGATTCTAGTTTCCAAATGCAATTCAAATAGCAAAATATATCCATCTCCACCTAATAATTGTCTAGGATTTTTGCTTCCATAATTAGCAAAGATACAAAGAACTCTTCTATAAATCCCACTAAAAGATTCACTTTGCTTATCATCATCTACGACACAACAATACTAAGAAATCGATTTCATTTTCTTCTCCAATCAGCTGCAAAACTATCTACAAAGAGATGAAGATGTCTTCTCTTGGCGTCGCTTCCCTTCTTGTCATCTTGATCGTAGCTTCTTGTCAGCATGGATATATACAATCTTTCTCCCCTTTGGTATCTTAACAAGTTGTTTACAAATGTTATTTGATTTAATTTGCAGGTGCATCGAACTCGGTAGAACAAGAAACAACAGTGGGGTGTACGAACGACAAAGAGTGTGCGGATATATGTGCAGTGTTGGTATTGGGTATTGCGACTTGAGCCGCAAATGCAGGTGTGAGCACGCCATCATGGATGCTAATTGCAACAACAGACGCCTATTGTGCCAAGCTTCGTCCACCCAGTAGCAAAATCCATAGTTCTCGGTGGCACTCTTGTATGTTGAGAAATAAATAATAAGTGAAACATATTTTACATCTTTTTCAACAGATTTGTCAAAAGCACAAGTCTGACTTGAGGGTTGATTGATTTTTAAATTGCTATGGAGGTACCCCCTTTTGACCGCCAAGCCTGACATTGCATACCCATTCCATTTACTTGTTCATACCATTACGTATGTAACAAATGTTAGCGCAAACAATCCAGATAAGTATAATATAAAAAATGATTAAAAAAATCCAACCCCGCAAATTTTACGGTTAGAATTGGATTTCTCTGTTTTTGCTCCGCTCTAGCAAGGAAGATCCGGAGGTTATAGACTGATCGGATGTAAGAAACCCTGTCCCGGTCCCGATACTCAAAGATTGATCCGACATTGTAACGAATCTTGCTGCCGAATAGGGAAGCGTGGATGGCTGAGGGAGATTGATTGATTTACTTCCGAGCATGAGAATAACCGACGACATTGTAGGCCTCACTGCAGGGTCATCCTGAACACACAACAATGCAATATGTATCCATCTCACAATCTCTGAAACCGGACAATCGTCGGCGATGTTCGGGTCGATCAACTCATCTCCTCTGCCTTCGTTCCAAACCATCCAAGCCTATGAAACACAAAGTCCTAATTAGGGGCACAAGCCTTAAGTTCAGGTGCCTGGAAAAATGAAATAAAGAGAGAATGAATGCATACATATGTGACAAGGATTTGGCCACCGTCCAGGTAATGGTAGAATCCCCTGTTTCTTTTACCACTTATTATTTCTAGCATTAGGATACCGAAGCTGTAAACATCAGTCTTGTTTGAAAACAAGCCTTCTAGTGCATATTCCGGTGCCATGTATCCGCTGCATATGACATAAATTTAGACTCCTTTCTCATTTCGATTTGGATTCGGTTAAGGAACCAAAATGAAGTACTTACTACGTGCCGACGACATGAACCGTGTTGGCTTCGAGTCGGTTGCCTCCAACTATTCTTGCAGTGCCAAAGTCTGATATTTTAGGGTTCATGTCATCATCTAACAAAACATTGCTGGCCTTCAAGTCCCTATGGATTATTTTAAGTCGAGAATCCTCATGTAGATATTGGAGCCCCCTTGCCGTTCCGATAATGATGTTGGCGCGTTTCTCCCAGTCTAGCACTGCCTTGCTTTTCTCTGGATCTGCCTTCGGAAACATAGCATAAGAGCAAAGCAACATTCTTAGCTATTGGAAAACTTGTATCGAACCAGGTTCGACACATATTCGAGCATGAACATAAGAAAACATGATGTGTGAGGGAGAGGAATGAACCGAAAAGGAAGGTGTCCAAGCTGGTGTTAGCCATGAATTCGTAGACAAGAAGCATTTCGTCTTTCTCCAAGCAATATCCCAATAGCCTCACGAGATTTTTATGTTGAAGCTTAACGATTAATTTCACTTCATTCTTGAACTCTCCGAGACCCTGCCTTGATCTCATGGAAAGCCTTTTAACTGCTATGACCTTCCCATTGACCATTTTCCCCTAAAAAAAAATCGAAAATTCCGAAACATGATGTTAACTGCAAGTTCCCCTAGTAATCCTACCATAAACAATAGATGAATGTTCCTACTTTCAACCTTGTAAACAGGGCCGAAACCGCCTTCTCCCAGCTTGTTTTCCTCGGAGAAGTCGTTCGTTGCAGCATGTATGGTAGCTAAATCAAACTGAAGCATCTCGTCGTCGTGATCCTCATCCGACAGATTAATACCCAACTCCATCAAATCTGGAGTCTTTGAGGAACGAGACCTTCCTAGTAAAACCTTTTCTCTAGTTTCTTCATCTGAGTATTGAGTCACAATGTTCAAATTTGATAAGAAATCAATATATATATATATATGTCATATAGCCTGAAAATGTAAAGGGAAATTACCTTTAAAACGACGTCGTCTTCTCTGATACAGGAAACCAACTAGAACTGCAACGACAAAAACTCCTGCTAATGATGATACGATGATTATTATGATCCTTCTTGTGCTATTGCCCCCCTTTCCTGTTGTTAAATCGACCAAAATACGACGCATGAGTATACCGTGTCTGATACATACTAGTTCCCGATCCTGATATTTTAGCCCGAGTAACATAGTCTACGAAATAAGCCTATTTGACTTACCTTGGTTCTCCGATGGGGGAGCCGGTGGCTGATCGGATATCGGATTCATGTCAAACCTCAAATAACAAGTCGGAGTCAGAACTTGCCACCCTGTTCTGTCCATGCAACAAGCCTCGGTTCGGTTTAACAAATATCTCAAACAAGTAGAACAAGAAGTAACAGTAAGATCTCTGCTGCACTGTGCTCTGCCATATCGACGCCCCGATCCATCTCGCGCATCCAATCCGCCTTCGGTTGACATATTCGCAGCGAATATAGCTTGTTCGACTAGAGAGTAAACAAAGCCTCGGGTACCGATATCTCCTTCGGGAGGTGAAGTGGTGTTCTCAGGATTCCACCTTAAATTGAATGGTTCGAGCGTAGCTTGTCCGAAGAAATTGATGTCCGAATATCTTACCATGCATAGTTCGAACCACATGATTGCTCTTCTGTCATTGGGACAGTTTCGTTGGATCAGTTGAGTAATATTGTTCATACAAGTCCGACAAACATCGCGGGTAACATCGCCTCGGCAAAGGAAGAGACTGTAGACTCCATTAAAGCTACCGTTATAGAAGGTGTTTTCGGAAGCTCTAGCGGCCATAGAATCCATAAGAGTCGCTACATTCGATCTGTAATCGGCGGTTGCCGTCTCGTTATCCGGTCCTAAGCAATAGTAATCGAACAACTGGGAACTGGTGAAGTTTATAAGCACAAGGATGGTGATGAAGCATAAAGGCAAGGCTCCGGGTTTGTGGCAAAGGAGACGAGCCATTGCTTTTGAAATTAGTGGTTTGATCAATATCAATACAGAAGCTGTGTTTATACGCTCTGTCTAATGGATTTTAGTAAACGTAACACTTTTTTGTACCTTCCACGGTTGGCGCTTCGCTTTGACCGGCGGCCCGTGAGAAAGTGGACAACTGCACGCAACTATTTGACTTTCTTGGTCCAACTCGAATAGAAAACTGAATTCCTTCGCAGATATCAATTATCATTCGTTTAAATCCGAATGCACTCCCTATGCTTTATTATTACATTGTATATTTTCACATGTATTATTTGTATATATAAGTGTATCTTGTGCTTGTAACTTCAAAATAAAATCATTAAGAAAAAGTATGTATAATATAAATTAGATGTAAAATCTAATTGAAAAGAGAAGCGTGAGAGAGATCAAAAATTTCGAGAGGAAAGAACGAGAGAAAAATCATTTTGACAATCTTGGTCAATTTTGATCATCTCTTCAATAGATGCTTCATCCTAACTCGACTAAGCTGATTCTTGAATAATGGTTGGAAAATTTAGATTTCCCACGGTTTAATTTTTTTAAACGAGAGCTGTAATGAATTTAGATTTTAAAGTCAATTTCATTTTTTTAATGAAATATTTATTATATGGTTGGATATTATAATAACGGGTGTAAAAAAATAGAAGGTTTAAATTCACGAACTAGTCGTATACCATTCATTTATGTTTATGTATCAAGCTAAATAAATGAGTGTAAGTAAATTTGTGTGGTCGTTTAATAAACAAATGAACAAAAGTGTGTTTAATTCGTTTATGTTTATAAACAAACTCGTTTACCTGATTTTCTTTTTCACTTTAAATATTGGTGATAATAGGGACTAAAATGAACACAAGGTGAACTTTGGAGTTCAAAATGTGAAACCTAAAGAGCTAAAGAACTAGTGAATTTTGAATATGTAAATAATATTCTATAACGTTAAATGAGCATGTTCGTGAACATATAAATAAACATATTTGTTAACGTTAAACAAACATATTCGCGAACAATACATAAACGAACATGAAAACCTTAAAATAAATAAACAAAGATGAACACGATAGTAATAATTGAAACAAATACAAACACATTCAAAAATAAATAAACAAACATAAACACTACATTAAAAATTTAAACGAACGCAAAACACCTTAAAAAATAAATAAATGAACATAAACATAATATTAAAAATTTAAACGAACATGAACATAATATTATTTATTTAAAGTAGTTAATTTATACTCGTAGTTATAATCTAATAATTACATATTTAATTATAGTTGAGTTTTTGTCTAAACTCTAAAATCATGTTATTTTTATGATTTTATTTGGTGTCCTTATTTATACTCTTTTATGATTCCATTGATTGATTTGTATTATTTGAAAATATATATTGTGGGATTGTGTTTGTGATAATTATTAATTTAATATTGGTTACATTTTCATTATATTTTATTTGTATGCTTGATTTCTTTCTAACATATTAATGATAGCGTCATCAATATTAATATAAAATTATAGTAATGACAATGAACTCTATTACAATTTAAATACGATATATATAGAATGATTGTACACAACTATTAAAATAAAAGAAACACAATCAGATATATAAAATAATAAATAGTAAATGAGAATTAAATAAACACGTGTCGAACAAATCAATGCCTGAGAAAGTGGTGCATGACGAGAGATATAGTCAAAGGCGGCGGCACCAACCTCAAATATACTAAAATGTTTATTTGTCAGAAGAATAAAGTAACGCAAATTTGATTATTGAAGATAAGATAAGAATTACAAATTGATCATACAAAATAAAAAATAAAATTTAGAAGGTAATATGAAAGAATTCATATGGACGATGATGTAGAGGTTACAGACCGATGAGATGCAAGAAACCGTGTCCCGGTCCCGATACTCGAAGATTGACGACATCAAAACAAATCTCGCAGCAGAACATGGAGGTGTTGATCGCGGAGGGAAACTGATTGATTTGCTCCCCAGAATGAGAATAACCGATGACATTGTAGGCCTCCCTGCAGGGTCATCCTCAACACACAACAAGGCAATGTGTACCCATCTCACAACCTCCGAAACCGGACAATCGTCGGCCATGTTCGGATCGATCAACTTGCGTCCTCTGCCTTCGTTCCATACCATCCATGCCTGTGTACCACATAGTCCTAATTAGGGACAAATCCTTAAGTTCAGGTGCCGGGAAAAGGAAAATATGGAGAGAAAGCATACATATGTGACAAGGATTTGGCCACAGTCCAGGTAATGATAGAATCCCCTGTTTCTTTTACCACTTATTATTTCTAGCATTAGAATACCAAAGCTGTAAACATCAGCCTTGTTTGAAAACAAGCCTGCATAGGAAACAACTTTCCATTTGGATTCGGTTAAGGAACCGGAATGGAGTACTTACTATGTCCCGACAATTCAATCTTAGGGTTCATATCATCATCTAACAAAACATTGATGGCCTTCAAGTCCCATTGCGACCTGCACCAAGTCAGACGCACAATCGAACATGAACATAGGAAAAAAAGAACACCAACTCAGATGTATGAGGGACAAGAGCAAACCCAAAAGGAAGGCGTCCAAGCTGGTGTTAGCCATGAACTCGTAGACGAGAAGCTTTTTTTTCCTCGGACAACCTTTTCGTAGCAGCGTGTACGGTAGTTAAATTAAACTGATGCATCTCGTCAGCGTGATCCTCATCTGATAGATGAATACCCAACTTCATCAAATTTGCAAGCTTTGAGCTATGAGAACTTCCTAGTAACACCATTATGTTAACATTTTGTAGGAAATCAATATTATATATCAATGTTCAAAAATTGATGTACGAATATCTCAACATGCATTGTTCATACCAAATGATCGCTCGTTTATCGGAAGGGCAACTTTGCGTGAGCAATCGAGTAGCATTGTCCACACAGATGTGGCAAATATTGCACGAAGAAAATCGACCCCGCAGAGGAAGATTAAAAAGTTTTTCGATGGTTTTGAACTGAAGAAAAAAAAAGCTGATTATTAGTTTGGAGATTTTTTTACTACCAAATGACGAAGAAAGAAAATATTAGTATAGAAATTAAAAACTAAAACAATTTGATCTACTACTATTAATCTGTCATCAATAATATTTCAATAGACAATTACAGAGAAATATAAAAATAAGAATGATTATACAATAATGGAAGAATCAATAAGGAAAAAAAAGGGACAGAATTCAATAATCAACTAAAATAGACAGGATATTTCTTGTTATTCCAAGCCTGCAGGATGGATCCATCTTGTCCAACTGCAACATTGCAATTGACATGCATCTTATGACGCTTACTGTTCCATGTAGTAACCTTGAATCTTATCACCGACGTTATCTCCAAACGGAACACCACCGTCCCTTGTTGCCTAGCATCCATGAACTCCACCGTACACAACCGTCGTTGTCTTCGGTTCCTGGAAGAAAGGGTCCATCAATGGAGCCGACCCGATCTGTTGATCATTATAGAAAACCAACCCGACAATCGAGTTGTCATAGATTCCAATGTGTTGATTAGAGTTCCTATCCGTGACATTGAACGATATCAAAGCATTCTCGAACCCCGAAGGTTGAACCAAACCGGGAACCATGAAATCCACGATGTGGAACCTCGGTCGGTGAGGGCGTAAACTAAGCCATAAAACGAACAACACAATTCCAACAAGCAAAACAAGAGACAAGAACATGGTACATAGTATTTTGATGACTCTCTTAGCGAAGCTTTCGCGAACTCGATGCGCATAGTAGCGGGCGGTGTGGTGGCGCTTGAGCGGTTGTTGGGGTTGAGGGTTTTATTGAGCCTGGTAGTCTTGTAGGGTGTATCGAATCGGCAAGCTGTCAGAACCGCCACTAATGAGTGTTCTAAATCGATAATATTTGCTTGTCTATTCTTCGATCTTATGGATTTATTTCTGTTGATTTGATTGTGTTATGCTTGTTTTTGTGTTGTATCTCGAAATTAGCAGTAAAACTGGTGTATTATGTATTTTTATTATTATTTGGTAACGCCTAGAGACATTGGCACGATTTTGTGCATGACATAGTCTGACGTGGCAGTTTCTAGAAGGTTCAGTCAACAACAGTTTTCTAGAAGATATTGTCAGTGCCTTTTGGAAGGTGGACGGACATAAATATCTTAGGAGATTTATTTTTAATTTTAAAGTTTGAATTTGAAAAAACATTTGGAATTATCTTTAGGATTGTTTTTATTTTAATTTATATGTTTATCTCTAGGATTTTAGAGGCTATAAATACCTTTTGAGGTAAGCCTAAACACAACTCATATTTCACTCTTCTTTTTATTTATAGTTTAATAAAGTTATTTCTTTTCTTTTCAAGTTTTCATTTTTATTTTATTTTAAGTTTTATTTTTAATCATGTTAAGTATGACTTTTGTCATGCTTAGCTAATTTTCTCATAAACCGATAGCTTAAGCGATAACTCAATTCCAACGTGAGAATTGAAAAGCACTTGAATAACTTCGGAATATCTCTCTCAATCTCTGTGCTTATTTTCAAAATCAAAATAGTTTTCGAAATCAAAGATCGAATTAGGTCAAGATGTTGTTGCGATTAAATGTATGGAATTAAAGATCGGCTTATTGAAAGCACATTCGACTTCCTGGAAACACACTTGGCGAGATTGTCTTGTTAAGAGGGAATTTAGATCGGAATTAGTAGTTATTGAAACAATAATCCGAGTCGATCTTCACGAACATAAATTATTATTGATCTACGACAATTGATGTTGATCAGATCAATTTTCGAAGTCGGAATCAAATATTACCTTGAGGTTGTTTTTACCATAAATATTTTTCAACTTTACAATCTTTATTTTATTTATTTTTGCTTTAAATCGCTTCTTATTATTTAATCTTTTTTACCAGAATAATCCCTTTTTATCTATTGCATATCTCCTGATCAAGTCAATTCAAACATTATTTGGAGTTGACTTTTATGTAAAATTATTTCGTATTTTTATCTCCATAATTGACCCAGCTACATCGTGTACGCTTATCTTAGATTGACATATAACGAACATAATCACCTAATAAAATGAATTCGAACACAACATTCAACAAATACACTTAATATAGAACTTACATAAGTTGATATTTCACATACACAACTGCAATACAAACAACATATATATTGTCGATTATTATGCTTATCAAATAAATTAACTACACATATAACTTAAAAACAATACAAATACAAGTGGTTGTCATTATACAAATAAAACGTCTTATCAACTGTTTAAAATATAATGTCATTCATATATCGATAATCATATATTCAATGATATCAAAAACAATTGTACTTGATAACATAAAAAATCCAAAATAACAACAGTTTACAGTAATCAATGATATGTATTTTTGTTAAAAATTAGTTTTAATTTTTTTTTAATTTTATAATTTTATGTTTGTGACTAAAATTTTAAAAATTTTAAATTCAACTCTTAATATAAAATTTTACATCCGTAGCAGCCGGTAATAAAATCGGTTAAAAATACTGAAAGAGAACCAATAAACAAAGAAAATCATACATAACAAACAAAAAAAACAATAGACAAAGAGAGTAACCGTAGAAATCGAAAAATGCAAGAAATCTTCACCAATTAGATCATCACGCCAATCCATCTGTTACTATAAATAAAACAAAATGCTAGCAATTTTCATTTTTCTTTATAAATTATTCCACTTTGAGTGTAATACCAACTCATCATATGAATACAAAAACCCTCTGCAAAGTTACAAATCCTATTTCTTGATTTGCATGTTTTGATCACATTCTATTCTTCTTCACACCGTTTTTAATGGTGTTCTCAATCTCTCCTGATATATAAAGTCGGCTCATTTGCAGCAGAAATCAATTAAATCACGAGATTTGTTTGAGTTTAAAGAATAGTTAATTCGCGATCTTTGAAGATTCTGACTGTATCTTAAAGAGTGTCTCTGTTTTCTTTTTCTGATTCTTCTCTCCCAATCAGATGATTTGATTAAAGATTTCAAGAGTTCCCCATGGAGTACGCAGTTGTTTGGCGCTCTCTACAGTCCTAATTCCACCCTTCTTTCATCGTTTTCTTCTCTTTCTTTTTATCTTTGCTTCATTTTCCGAACAATGTTGAACCTGACGGAAGATCCAAAGCTGGTGAGTTGAATCTCTCTGGGTTTTCTTCAAATATCTCATGTCTTTTGATCTCCTTTTCCTTGTTACTGTTTAATTGATTTTCATCACCAAGTGTCTTAATTTGATTTTGGGGTTCTTGATTTGGTGATAGGACTCAACATCTTCCAACGAGATATCCATACAAAATATATCAGTTTCCGATCATATCAATGGCTTTCAATACACAGCCGATAATAAATCCGATAGCTTTGTTCTCGACTTGGAAGGTTTCTCTCATGGAGGATCCAATAAAGAAATCACTCAGAATTCAAGATTTACAGTGAGTTTTCCCCTTTTTTCATGATTTTTTGTGGGAACAAGTTCAAAACATTTATTTCTGAATGACACGTGTTTACATCTCAATGACACTGTTTCATGCAAGTCCAGAAAATTTCAGTTTTTTTTCCTTCTTAATTTGCAGAGAAGTCTTTCTCGTAAAGGGTCTCAGAGTGGAGGGGATAAGAAGATTATAAGTTACAGTTGTACAAATTCATATTGTAAATCCTCTCTCAATGATAAAGATGCTTTTGTTGCCACCTCCCCGAGAGGTACAGACTTTTAGCATTAATTGCTTAAATTTTATCACATGCTGCTGGTTTTTTTACTTTTCCCAGGGAAATTTTCCCAGAAAAATTAAAAAAGGGGAACATTTTGGCTCTATTTTTACCCAGTTTAGTGGTTTAGACCATGCGCTTTTTCTTCATTTATAGTTAAATTCCTTGCAGGACTTGAATTTAACTCGTTAACTATGTAGAACAGTTCGTTTGTAGTATTTAGCTACGTTATTCGGACTCGAGTGTGTGCCGGAATTTATCCTGTTTCCCTTGGATGCATGTTCTCATGTTTTATGGCAAATTTCCTGTTTCCATAGTTTATTTTGTAAGATTTGGCCTGGAATTATTGAACTGCAACTTCTCTGGTAGGGTCTAGCACGGCTGAAAAGCCGGTGACGGCCACTGTAGTGTCAACTGATATGGCCAAAAATCCGCTAGTTCATCATCAGATCACCATTACAACTGGCAATACCACCGCTGCAACCGAGAGCAGATTCAATCTCCGGAGAAACAATTCCCGACGATATGCTTCCCCATGGATTTTCGATCCCAAAAGGATTATCTTTCTCTTTACCACACTGTAAGTTTCCTAACCCTATCACGGAATATTCCCATTTCATCTGCGAAGGTTTTGATGATATTGAAAGGAAAAACCTTTTCGGGTTCTTTTGACAGATCGAGCATAGGAACGATTTTGCTGATATATTTCACATTGTCGATTTACAAAACGAATGGAGATGGGGATGCTTTCGATTAGGACGTAGCCGGGGACTGTACTCACCAACTTACTGCTAACTAAAAGCAACATTGCAGCATGACATACACATGGCAGCTGAAACCGAAAACCGATGGGAGTGATTGAGAATGAAAAGGAAGGTTGAAGAAAAAGGACAAAAGGGAAAGCTGATATGAACCTTCCATTAAAGATAGCTTCATGAGTAGAGAGTTATTAAAAAGGTCAAACTTTGGAGATGAGGACAAGTACATAACTCCACTGTGACAAAGATGTGGAATCTTTCCCTTTTAATATGTATGTGTGTGTGTGTATGCATGTAGGAGATGGAAAAATGATGATTTGTTAAACTTTTTTGTGCGTTATGGTTTGTCACGTGGATGAAATGGAGGGTTCAAAAAGTTTCTTCTGTGCCTATTCTCTCCATAGTTGACATGAATGAAGTTCATAAAGGAGACACTAAGACTAAAGTCAACAAACAACCTTGAGATCAAAGTTGGATGCGAGTTTACCACGAAAATTAGTGGGGGAAAAACAGTCCCAGATATAATCAAACAGGGTAAAAATATTTTTAGACTTTGATAAAATAATACTTTATCAAAAATAAGACTTAATAGGAAAATGATTTTCCATTGGCAGGTGGGCTCTAATTGCTGGAAGAATACCTGGTAGAACAGCTGAGGAAATTGAATAGTATTGGAATACCAGGTATTCGATGAGCGAATGAAGAGAAAAGGGAGAAATATTCGTTATTTCAAGAGAATCGGTGCCGATTATAGCCGATGGAGCAACGATGAGCGAGTGAAGAAGACGATAATGCATTCAACTACATTAGAAAACTGAGATTTGCCTGTTCTTTGTTATGTCTTCAAGCAAAGTGATGTGTATGATATGTCTTGTTAACACAGACGATTCCAACCACTTGGATTCAGAGATATAGTCGAAACTCGTAACTCAAACCGATTGAATCTTCGACTATGATCCAATAGGTTGGATTAGACAATTTGATAGCTTCCTTTTCTAATGTTCAAACATTAATTTCATGCAAAGTTAAACTAAAAGGTTGGTTTATATAACTACAGAATTTGAAGGTTAATGGTCCAATCGGTTGAACCGATGTGACTTTTCACTCCATGATTTTGCAACAGCAAAAATCAATGCAAACAAGTTGGTTCAAATTAAACGACGGTTTGCCTGCATAAATTAAGCAGAACAAAGACAAATATCATAACTTTGAATTTTTTTTATTAAAAAAACTCAAGATGAAGTTTTGTAAGGGTGTAAATGGATAAAACATTCCATGAATTGTTCGTTTGTATTATTTATTAAGTTAAATAGACGAGTACAAATAATTTTTTTGTGTTCATTTAATAAACTAATGAACATGAATATAAATCAATTTGTTTATAATCAGTTCTCCTTTTCCTTTTCTTTTACATTTTAAATATTTGTAAAGGTAATGACTAAATTGAATACAAGGTGAACTTTGAAGTTCAAACTATAAAGTTTATATAGCTTAAGGACAAGTGGAATAATTTCATCAGGGCTTGCAAATCAAAGATTAAAAAGAGTGTTGGTTGACGAGGGAACTCAAACCATATAAGCGAACATGTTCACAAGCAATAAATGAATATGTTAGCGAAAATATAAATGAACATATTCACGAATATTAAACAAAACATGTTTGCAAACGTTAAATGAACCGAACACGAACACCTTCAAAAATAAACAAATAAATATGAACACAATATTAAAATTTTAAATGAATATGAACCGAACATGAATACCTTAAAAGATAAACAAACGAACACGAACACAATCTTATTCTTTCAAGCCTGTTCATTTACACCCCTAAGGGTTTGCTTTGGCTCCAATTGGAACCTGGTTTAAGGAAGTGCAGATAAAATCAGATGCTTCAAGCAAGACATCATTAATCCAACCAAAAGGCTTAAGGGGCCAAAAGTAACAATTTAATGGAAGCACAATGTACCAACTTGTGCAATCATGTGTCAAACAGAATCATAGAGAATCCAGCTAATAGTTTAGCTTGATTGCAATGAAGACCAACTTTAAAGGCAATTACTAAATACTTGCTAGTCCACCTATAGACATTATTAGTTGCATGTTCTAGTGAAATCACCCAAGGCCAGGAACACAAATGATCAGAGAGAAAACTACAAAATATGCAGAGTAAACATTAGCATTTTGAAGATCTTATGGTAGTTATGCAATCTACTTGAAGACCAGCTTATATTCCCTTAGACTTATACGTTGCTCTGCTTGTAAAGCTTGGTGTCAAGCACTTGCTTCCCACACATCGCACATACGCCTGCACAGCACACAACGACTATCAGAGGCCACATGCACACAAAAAAAAAAAACAGATAATAACCAAATGACCAAGTTGTAGAGCATCAAGCTATTGATTTACCAGACCTTTTGAATAAGCACAAGTATGACAGTACTTGGCATCTTGATGCACTTGCTGCTTACATATGATACACTTGGTATTTCCATAAGGGGTCCATCTGCAAGCAATGGATTCCAAATCCAAATCATGAAATCTGAAAAAAATGCATTTTTGCCATGTATTTGGAGCCCTCCATTACTTTTTCATCCATTAATATCCAATAGACCAATACAATATTTAATCACCATTAATATAAGGGTTTTACACATTTGAATGGCGATGATCAATCAATTGGATATTAGTGGATGAAAAAGTAATGAACTGGATCCAAACCCATTCGGTGAATTCTAGAAGGTCATATACTTCATATCCAATAGCAGCTAAAATCCTAAACACTAGGATATGTTCTTGACCAATACCTTCAGTAATTAAAGAGAACCCTAGAAAACTTATGCTTGGAAGAATCAATGATAATTTACAGCAATAATCAAGTAATTCCCTAAAGAAATAAACTTATCAACAAGTATAGCTAAGAATTCTACCCAATTTTAACGAAATTTAAAATTTCGTCATGTTTTGTAAATTAGTAAATAAAAATTTTGTAAGACTGAAATAGGAGATGGAGAAAAAAGAAACAGACCTGTGTTTTTTGGACAGGAGTTTATTCTCGTTGATTTTCCGGCCACCGCTTTCGTTGGTGTTGCTGGCGCCTTGCTTCCACTTATCTGGCACGATCACCTTCGATAGCTTCTTCTGGCCTACAAATTAAATTGATCTCACACATCAGTTTCTTTTTCTTTAAAATTTTCAGAGATTACACCAAATTGATCTGGAAATCAGTTACAATTGCAGAGCTAGAAAACTTACACTTGTCGCACACCATTGGAGTTAATTGTTTTTCTCTGCAAAATTTCCCCCTTTCAGTATTTCGAAATCGGAACCCTAAGAATTATCGTTGACGTTTCATTTAAGGGTAAAGTTTACAGATGTCATTAAACTATGCTAAAATTAACTTTTTGGCTACTAAACTTTAAAATATATAAAATAAACATGAAACTTTTTATTTTACTACAAAATGAACACTTCTAGCAGATCCCGTTGGAGCTTTTTACCTCGAAGGGTCCAAGTTGCATTGCTAGTGTCCTTGAAAATCCCCTCTATATGGATAGCATCATCGCTTCACGACACAGAATCTCCCACGCTAAGATATGTATCGAGGTTCTCCATATTTTAAAATTCTTTCGTTGTATAGATGTGGTCTTTAGTAGTGGTTCTATGGTTCCTATCGGTACGTTTGTTCCATGGCTTCCCGCTAGATGCTTTAATTGTTGAACGTTTTCGTATTCTGAGGGACTTTCCTGAATAGGGAGGGGGGACAAGGGCAGAGTCTGGAAACTTAAGCAGTTAGAGTTTGTTGCTTCTCTTGAGAGTAATTCTGTGCAGCTCAGTAATTCTTGTACAAATGTAGTTAGAGTTTTATTGATATCCAGTACATATCAATAAAAGAAAACTAGTTTGATAGTTTAAAGTATGAGTAAATCAAAGAAATAATCAACTAGATAAATAAAATAATATATTGACTAACTAAATAAAATAAATAGCAATCTGATATTGATATTGTTAATACTGATAAAAATATATAAAAAAAAGTAAGAGAAAATTAGTACAAGAAAGGAAAAAGAGATATATCCATTAGTTGGTTCACTGATCAAGGATATTTATATTGTATTATTATGTATGAATTCGAATCTCGTCATTTATTTTAAAAATATAATTATCTCTCTATTTAATTAAAAAATATATTTATAATAAATAATAATTCAAATTAATCTATTTGTAGAATAATTTATGTTTAAACTTGGGAGGATAATAATAATAATTTAGATTATTGGGGGTCTAAAATCATTTTTGCAAAGGTGAACTGAGCCGGGCTGGGCAAGAACAAGCTAACTTAAAAATTCAGTCATACGTTAGTTAAATGGGGCCGGGCTTTGTTTCGGCTCCAAACTGGAGCGTCTTCTTCTACCGTCCAGTGTGTAATAGGTTCCAACTATATTGGATCAATTTTAGGTTGTCTTACATTTAATGGATACTTCATCCATATTTATTACATATAACACTGATTTTGTATATAACATCGAATTTATGTAACGGATTAATTAAATATTACTTTAATTAAAAAATCAAAAATAATAAAAAATATATAATATTTTTATACTTTCATATTATAAAATTCATATATGTAAATTTGAGATTTATTCTGATGTATAACTGACAAGGATCACCGTCCTAAAATTTTAATATAATATTGGAAATGTTTATACTTTAAAAGAGGAAATGAGATTTAGAAATAAAATGAACCCTAAAAGGCCTAGGGTGGGTCCTAAAGTTAGCTCCACCGAGCGATGAATCAATGGATGATCCGAAACTTTTGTGATCGACTGGCGCTATTGATAAAACAATATAATTTTTGTACTTGTTCATTAAATATGATTGGTACGTACGTATATGTATTGTATAGTAAATGCGTCTGATTAAAGAAATTAATACACGAAGATAGTTAGTGGAACAAATTCATTATATTCACTCTCCTTTTCCAACACAAACTCGTTTTAGTAGGGAGAAAAAAATGGAATTGCTAGATCTTTTCATCACAGGTTTTACATTCATCTTCCTCCATCTATGGTGGCGCCACTGGTCAGCCACCGGTGGAGCACCCAAGAACCTCCCACCGGGGCCGCCTGGCTGGCCACTTGTCGGGAACCTGATTCAAATCATCCTCCAACGACGACATTTCATTTTCATAGTACGTGAGTTACGTAAACTATATGGTCCGATCTTCACCATGCAGATGGGGCAACGCACAATGGTGATTGTTACGGACTCCAGGCTTATCCATGAAGCCCTAGTTCAAAGAGGTCCCGTTTTTGCCTCACGGCGACCGGGCTCACCGATCCGGCTCGTGTTCAGCGTCGGCAAATGCGCCATCAACTCGGCCGAATACGGACCTCTGTGGCGAACCCTGAGGAAGAACTTTGTGACCGAGATGATAACACCTGCGAGGGTGAAACAATGCAGCTGGATCCGGAAATGGGCAGTGGGCAGTGGAAAATCACATGAAGAGAATCAAATGCGATGCTTTCCACACCGGTTCCGTCGAGGTGATGAGCAATTGTAGGCTCACTATATGTAGCATCTTAATCTGTTTATGTTTCGGTGCAAAGATCTCCGAGCAACATATTAAGAAAATCGAAAGCATATTGAAAGATGTAGTGATCTGATAACATCGCCGCAGCTACCGGATTTCTTGCCGATTCTAACTCCGTTGTTTCACCGGAAAATAAAAGAAGCTAAGGCACTAAGGAAGAAGCAGTTGGAGTGTTTGTGCCCATTGATAAAAAACAGAAGAGCTTTTGTAGAGAATGGTGAAAACCCTAACCAAGAAACGTTGAGTCCCATCGGTGCATCCTATATAGACTCGCTGTTTCGACTCGAACCAGAGACCTGAGGTTCGTTGGGTGATGAAGAGCATGTTACTCTATGTTCCGAGGTGAATAGTGACGGCACCGATACATCTGCGACAACCGTGGAATGGGACATGCTTCACTTGGTGACCAATCAAGGAATCCAAGAGAAATTGTACCAAGAAATACTTGATTGCGTAGGTAAAAATGGGGATATCAAAGAAGAAGATGTGGAAAAAATGACATATCTTGAAGCTGTGATTAAAGAAACATTCAGGCGACAACCCTCCGAGTCATTTTCTTTTATCTCATGCAACTATAAAGGACACCGAGCTCGGCGGCTAAACGATTCTGGCAGGGGTCCATGTTGAGTTCTACACTGCGTGGATCACCGAGAATCCGGATATATGGTCGGATCCAGGAGAGTTCCGACCCGAAAGATTCACGGAAGGTGATGGGTTTGACGTCGACATGACCGGGACTCGAGCCGCAAAGATGTTACCATTTGGGGCAGGGCGACGGATTTTTCCGGCTTGTAATCTAGGCGTTTTACACATAAAATTGATGCTCGCAAAGATGGTTCAAGCTTTTAAGTGGCTGCCGGTAACGGATTCTCCGCCGGACATGGCCGAGACTTATGCTTTCACTGTTGTGACGAAGAACCCTCTCAAGGCTGTCATCTTGCCTCGGCAAGGAATTGAAGCTTGAAGAACTCACCTATCTACGTTAATTAGCAAGACTTTCTATGTTATGGTTTCTTGGGTGCTTAGTGATGTATTTCAGGTTTGATTTTAATAATCCCTAATTATTTTTATCTTCTTCTTCTAAATTACAAAAACTGTACACTTATATTAAACTTACTGATAAATAGATATCATTTTCTTAGATAATTGAAAATAGATGTTATTTCTCTAAGAAATTTCGAGTCTCATAACAATCCTAATATATGAAATAATACACATACAATAGTTTGCATGTATTGATTGATGACCAAACATGTGGCTGGAGCCAATTCCATAACAATGAGAAGGATGAATAGCTATTGGGTCATTGCACCCATTTGATTGGAACTTTAATGTAATAAAGAATAAACACGAGTGTGGATCCGCTGCTTGTTTCAGTCTGGAATTTTGCGCATGTTAAACAGCAGCCTGCCATTAACATACTGGCCTTCTTTAATGCGAGTAGAAGCTCTACTTTGTTGCGAAAACAATTAGAGCATTAACTCCATCGAAGAAAGGAGCTGTTGTTATCTGGGCAAAGTATATACTTGCTTTAGATGCTCTTGGAGACCAAATGCATAACGATAACATGTTTATAATATTACGAGTTACGCAAAAGATAATAAATAAACAAATGATCTTACATTGATACATAAATTAGTTTGTAGTATTACTTGAAAATTTAGTGATGGAGTTGAGAATAGTAGTAATTCAGCGATTTCAAGTGATAAGGTGGATGAAGGTAATAAATGTAGGGTCAGAATGCAGAAGAAAAATGGAAGCAGTAGCATTCACAATTTGCTTTGATCTGTAGCCAACTGCTACCTGCCATCGCTGTTAATGATCTGCCAAAAACAAACAACTCAACCACTAAAACAAGCAAATGTACAGACTGTCTCTCAGCATTGCCCATTCTTCGGGACTACAGAAAATCAGTTCATATATGTCTGCCTATGTTTACTGTCTCACATAAAATATTATCAGCCCTAATGGGTATGTGTAAGATTTGATTTTTGGACATGTTAGATCATAATTAAGATTCAAAGTTGTGTTTTTTCTTTTTGAAATTTAAATTTAATATTAATTATACCTAAAGGAGAGGAAAAAGAAAAGATCTTTAGAAAAAAGAAGAAGAGTTCTCCTAGTAGATCTAAAACCTATGATGTGAAGAGATATGAAAAACAATATATAATTAAGTCTCGTGTTAAAAGTTAAACTAACATAAAATTTTGATTAATATGATACTTTTTATCACATAAAATAATTCTTTTTCTAAAAGACGTGTATAATAAAATGTGCAATGTCACTGTTTTAAAATTTTAGTAACCTTTGTTTTCAAATGAAAGTAATAGTATACTCTATCACCCTCATAAGCCGTTCTTCTCCCTCTTTGAAGCACGGGATGTGATATCTTTATCACTTAATCTTGTGATACTCTTGTCATATGTTTGCATTTACATTTAGTTTATTTTATCTATCTTATTCACTAAAACGTTTGTATAATATTAGATAATTTGAATTAAATCAAATTTAGATAACAAGTAAAGGAAATTGACGTTTTTACCCAAAAATCACTCAAAAAATCAATATTTACTTGTCAGACACTCATTGATCAAATTTTACCGATCTAACACTCATTTGATAACATGGACGGAAGGCATAGATCATCAAGCGCTTCTTCCCTGGGTTTTCGTCCAAGCTGGCGCCAGGTAAATCGCGAATCACCATCCGCGCCTTCCCTGGGTTTTCGTCCGAGTCGAAGAGTTCAAACGCTATATAAGTTAACAGAAATACTGTTGTTGGAAATTTGTACTGAAGTAAGGATAGTCTTCTAGTACTTCTAACATGAACATTCCTTGAAATTTTAGTGATCAGCTCCTCAAGAGTGATGTTTCTCTTTAAGAATATTCTGACAAAATTTTTTATGCGAAGACAATGCTGGTTTCATCTTCCCAAAATTCTCCATCATAGTAAACAATAATTGAAATACGCTTCATTTTGAGAGTTTGAAAGATTGAGAGTCTTATATCTGCAAAAATAATAGCTGAAATACGCCTAATTGAATAAATAATATACGAATTAAAATATAAACTAATGCTAAAAAATAAAAATTCACAGTAAATTAAGTAACACAATTTAATATTGTTATCGTATCTGCAAAATATCTCAAGAGTTGATCTCGCCTTCCATTTTACAACTGCAAAAAGAAATACAAAAAAATAGTACAAAAAAATTTGGTCAAATAATTAGATATAAAATAAATATAATATAATAAAAAATATACTTTTTAAGAACTATAATAAAATCTACTTAGTTTGATAGAAGGAATTGATAGAAAGAAGAATGTGAAAGTAATTTCAGTGTAGTTTGATGTTTGCATTCGAGGGTATTTATAGGGGAGGATGATGTGTGAGTCGCTGAACCTCGAGTAATAATGGAGTACCCAATAATTCAAGGTGAATAATGTAAGGCGCGGATGGTGATTTGCGCCTTCCGTCACGTGTCAGGTTTCCCACGAAGGTACGAATGGTGATTTGCGTTTTACCCGCATGGCACCAGTTCGGACGAAAACCCAAGAAAGGCACGCTTGATGATCCACGCCTTCCGTCCATGTCAGTAAATGGGTGTTAGATCAGTAAAATTTAATCAATAGGTGTGTGACAAATAATTATTAATTCTTTGGGTGATTTTTAGATAAAAACGCCAAGGAAATTATTATTTGATGGTGAGATTGATGTAATGTTGTTAGGTTAGTAAATGAGTAGACAGAAGGTAGGTGAAATAACTAAATTGGGGGCAGATTCAAAATGGGAAGTGATACGATATCTTAAAGTATTTAATACCGATTCGTGCCTTGGTTGGACCCATTGAATTTGTTGAATTATGAATGCATGAAACAACATTATACATTTGCACTATCACAATCAAATCACTGCCCAGTTTATAAGTATTTAGTTTTTCTTTATCTTAATTATATTTTAAACCGAAACATATATAACCAATAGGATGCTGAAAATGTTATCGGTTTGTTAAGTTTAGAGATGAAACGGAGGAAAATGGAGCTGAATGGTGCTGTGTGTTGAAGCAGGCGTATGGGAGTAGGAGCAGCAAAATGCATGAGGGTCGAACAAACAGGTGGGTTGGGTATTTTAATGCCCTGTTGCTCAAGTACCGTAAGTGTTTCGCTTCTATTCACTCGCAGGCCCATGCGGATCCTAACCACTGGAACAGCGGGTACTACGAGTACGGTCAAGGATCTGCTATGCAAACTAAAATTTTATGTTAAAAGAGTAAATTTTAACAGGGTAGATTATAAATAAAAAATATAAAAAACTATCAAATTTTTAAAAGGACAACGGTCCTATCAACCCCTCATTCACCCATAAGACATGGACTATGGAAGATATTGGGTACGGAAACTATTAACAACCTCAACAGCATCAGCAGCAAGAACTGGGAAATGATGCTAATAGAATGAAGTAAATCAAAACGTATTAAGATGAATTAATCTAGAGTTGTGGATACACACAACAAGCACCAATGACAAAATGGCCTTTTGTCTATGTACAACAAACTGAATCATCGTCATCATCTAGTCATTCACGGCTGAATCAATTAATTAGTTCACCTCGGGAATGCTTTGTAACACCGGCTTCCACGGCCGAGGCTGCTCCGCCTCGTAAAAATCCCCGTCGTGGCCGTTAACCAAATTGGCCAGGGCTTGTTCAAGTGTCAAGCCTTGCATTTCCACCTGCTGCGCCAATAGCTCCAGCTCCTTCTTCGAAATAGTTATCTTCATCTCTCTAGTAGACGTGTTTGCATCCCTCAGCAACCTCTCCTTCTCCGCCGTGCTCGTAACCCCTTCCCTTTCCCTGTAAATGGACACCAAAGATCCCCAGTCATCATCATTATCATTAACCCGAGATGCCTTTTGCCGCCTCATACAATTCCCCATGACTGGTATTTCTTTGTGCAGCAGAGCATTTGTAGCCCAGGTAGAAGAAGAGATTTTTAACATGGAATGGGTGACAGTATTTATAGAGAAAGTAACCGAGGTGGAAGGTCAGGCCGCCGTTCAAGGTGGGCCATTAAACACGTTAATCAAAGAATATAAATAAGTATACAAAACCAAATTTCTTCCAGATTTTTCACATTAATATGTGGAAAATTTCCCATATTTTTGTGTTCAATTTGTGGGTTGTGGACTTTGACCATCTAGGTGATTGCATGATGAATGTCCAGGTAAGTCATCAAAGTCAAAGAAGGATGGCCTGCGCCAGGGAATAAATTGCTTCCTTTCTTGTTTGTTTGTATGTTCGGTCTACGTTGCTTTTCTTGTTTAACTTTTGCATGCAACTACTTCATTAACCTGTAGCATATATAGATGGGTAAATTACAAATTTCAGTACCTAATTTTACCTTATTTCCTATTTTGGTCCTTACAATTTAAACATTTTCAGTTTAATAACCTAATTTTTAAATTATTTATATTTTGATCACTCTATCATTAAATATTAAAAGATATGATGATTTAGTTTAGTTTATTAATATTATACTTTAACATATAATATAATATTTTAACATTTGGTTGTGTTATATTCGTAGAATTTAGGATATTTTCAGTAAAGGCATATCAAATTCGTATTTAGGAGTACGAAATGAGTTTAGTAAAAAAATTAAGACTGATTGATTCTCATTAACAACAATCGGTGATGATCAAAATTTATGCATATAGGAAGAAAGCAAGAGGATGAAAAATGAAGAAGAAAATAAGAAAAATGGGAACTTAAATTTTATTTGGGTCGAAAATGACATCGTTTAGTATAAATTTGATGTTTTCAAAACAATAATGTTTTGATGTCATCTATCATGTTATAAAGTTGTTACTATTTAACGATACAGTGACCAAAATAAAAACAATTCAAAAAATTAATGATGAAATTTATTACTTAACCTATATATGTGTGTGCATGAGTTTTCATATATTATTAGAAAAGATGATAATAAATTTTCAACATAAACAACAAAATAAATATAAAGTGTTACTAAAAAAGTATATATTTATTAACCCCTAAATCAATAATTTAAAACAATTTCAAATTTGAATATCAAACTTGTTGACTTTAGTTATTTACCCCTAAAATGTTATAATATATGCATTTTCAAAACTCATAGCCCATACCGTTTTGGGGACTTTTTAGAAAGGTACCGTAGGAAAATTTTTCAAAATTTATTCTGAGATTGAATTCCAGTTCAATATTAATTAAAAAATTAATTATTTTATTAATAAGTTGGTTTAAGTGGTAAGTAACGTGATATTGTTTGAGCAAATTTCGAGTTGAATCTTTGTATGTGTTGAAAATTCCCGTTAAGAAACTCACGTACTAAAATCAGGTGTGTAATACGTATTAATCTGGATTAGTTAGAATATACCCCTAGAATTAAGAGGACAACCAAAAAGAAAATTTTTAGTTCCTTTTTATTATTACTTTCGCAATTTGTATTGGTTATTATATTTAAATATCGAACTATAACATATCATAATATCATGTTTTGCGAAAAAATATATATTTATATGTTACATAGGATTAGTTTAATTAATTTCTTGATACAACAATTAAAAAGAAGTTTCAAGAAGAAAAAACTTGTACGGCTTATACTTTTCCTGGTCAATTGATTTAAATTTCTCGCTTTGCATGGTATTTTAATGTTTACGTTACCCAACAAAAATGTTAAGTAAATTCATTTTTACATCATTTGAAAGGGTCGTATCGTTGGAAACATTCAATGGAATTGAATATTAAAGGTAAATTAATTGCACAGCCACACAACTTTAATAAATTTTCATTTTAATCACAGAGAGAAAGTTTACAATATAGTCACTGTTATTAAAAAAAATTGCATCATTTGATCACTCAAAAAAAATATTGTTTTATAAAATATAAATATTAAAAATATAAAATTAAGAGGGACCGGCAAATTAGTCTTGTATCACATTCACAAGTAAAATATTGTGCCGTGTCTGCTTAATTAAAACTTTTATCACAAAGGTAGGCTGGAAGAATATAATGTCTAATCCTTGTGTAAGGCATCATCCAATTCTACATCCATTCCGACACGGTTTCGGATCGATGCGGAGGCATCGCAACGTGATTTGCACTTGTTTTGCAGCTCCTTCAACCTGTTAAGGTCGAAGTTATGCTTCTTAAACAACCTCCTTTGCCTCGACAGAAAAAGCCTCTTCAACAGATCTTGATATGTGGGATCCCTGGAAGTAATCAGGAAGTAAGCATAACCTATGACTATGCAGGTGGCCGTGGTGAAAAATGCAATCGGTTCCATTACATCCCACGAGAATTCCCAAAAAGTTAGCCGGAAGAATAGTCCGACTTGTACCACTGCTAATCCTAGACCGCACCAAAGGATGCCTCGAACTAGCTTATGCGCTTGAACGTCGATTTCTTCCTTCTTCTCCTGCAGCCTCTTTAGCTCATCTCTTATAGGGTCATCATCTTCGGGAGACAAAGCAAGAGGTACTGCGCTTCTAATCAAATCCACCACCTATGCATGAAACAAATGCTTTAAATGCATTAATATAAAGAGACTAATGAGAGTGAAGCTCAAATGAGGGATAAGCACCTTATCGGGATGAAGATAAACCTTGTCGCGAAAAAGTACAACGCCTGCCTCATCGAGAACACGTGCAAGAGCGATGGCCTCGTCTAGAGACCTGGCAACGCCCATGCTCTGGCAGGCCTTCAATAACTCCGAGTAGCCAATCACTTCTTTTCCTTCCATCCCTAGTTTGGTCTTAAGCGGTTCCATGTTGACCAGCCTCATCAACTTCCTAGCCTCTGCGAATGTTACACTGTCCGCCCCTACTCCCGTCCTTTTGGTATCAAAGGTTGATACAGTAGCTCCCTCCAACAGCAGCGGGTTCCGTGGAGACAGTGGGAGTCTCTTCCCAACGGCAACAGACATGCCCTGCTTCAGAGCCTCGCACCACCACAGCCTCCTCCACATGTTTCAATATATCTCTCCATTTAAAAAATATTTCTAGGTGTATATATGTCTCGTTTTGGTATTCGAGTATGATAAACTCCTAAGATCTGTCGATCTTAACATACGGATCTAGCTTGTCCTTCCAATAAGAAAAACAGACAAAAATAAAAGAATCATCATTATTTTTCTGTAATAATAACATTAAAAACCATGAAAATGAAGCTGCACTTCACTTAAAATAAAAGGGTTCTTTCTTTTCTCCTCTCTAATGAATAAAAAAGAGAGGAAAAAGCAAGTTTTATTTGTTAATGCATAAACTTCCCTGCTTACGAAATTATGGATTTTGTTTAGGAGAATAAATTAAACAATTGCAGGTGACAAAGAACAAATCAAGCTTCATACATTGGGTTTCTGATCTTAGCTTGGTCAATCTGATAACAGATCACATTGCCAATTGCCATAGCCAATAAACAACATTTAGCATTTGCCTAGACAAAGTGTAAAATTGTATATAATCAATCATCTTCAGAACTGATATAATCATCATCTGTGTTGATCGGATTCACAAGATCAAGCACAAAGTGTAGATCTAGAAAAACCCTTGGAAAATTCCTAGTAATTTTCATCATAGAGAAACATTTTGCAATGTTAAAAAATCAGTGAATCGTCGATAAATTTCCAGCAAAACGAGCAGAAACCAAATACATCAAATTTCTTTCAAAAAGTGTACTCCGGTCATGAGTGTTGTGATTTCCATAGGCGTTGGTGCTAAGGAAAGACTCCATCTGCTATAATGAAGTACAATTTCTTTCAAATTTGATTCGCCGCCAAATACATATCTACCAAACCAAACAAGCATAAAGAAAAAATCATCCACTTTTGTATCCATCTTAGACATCTTCATTCTTCTCTTGTCAACGTCTGTTTATTTAACGTTTTAACAATCTACAAATAACTCTCTAAATTCCTAAACTAAATCTTCTATCCCTAATTCCTAAACCTTTACTTCTTGAATCTTCAAATAATTCACTAGTTCATTGTCATCAATGAATGTGTACTGTCAAATCATACTACTATAATCTATTCCTTTTGTCATCAAACTTATACCGATTGATCCCACTCTATTACTATTACATAAGATATCTGAATCCTTTATTCCTCTCAAATTATTTTATCTTTTGTCTAATTATCATCCATTGATCTATCTCCATCAATGAACCTATACTATTATTTACGGGTGTTCAAAAATACTCAATTCAATTGACCTAGTACCGTTTACCTCGTCGATAGTATGCAACGTTTAAAGCTTCTATTATTTGAGAAGATTTAAAGATGATATGTGAGTTTGATCAATTAGTAAGTTCCAACAATGTGAGAATTAAATAATAATAATAACTGATAAATTTTGAAATTTATTTTATATAATCATATAATTATTTAAGAAGGATGTATGGACTCTAACGAAGAATATGTATAATTTCATTATGGAATGAATTAAGTTAGACAAAGTCTAAGTAAGAGAAAAAAAAAACAGAAAATATGGAATAACTTCACAGATCTACCCGTCTCTTCTATCTTAGGTAAAAAAACGAATGGAAGGAATGATTATTCAACAATTTGATTGCCACTAATGACAATTTTACGAGCAAATAAAACCATTGAACATCCATGGAGTGCGCTTAATTTACTGAAATTAGCAAATAATTAAGATCAACACCACCAAATAATCGGTGGGTTCTCATTCTTTTCCTAATTTAACAAATGAAACCATTTCAATCTCATCCTCGAATGGCTTTTAAAGAGACCAACTCGACAAAATCCAGACACCCAAAAGAAAAAACAAAACTGGAGAGAGAAAACTTTTAACAAATTTTCGCTCTCTTTGTTAGTTTTGTTGAGGTTTTTTTTTTCAATTTTTAAGAACAAGGAAAATGATACAAAGTGGATGAACGTTTCAGGAAATTGTGGTCTTTGTTAAGACAGCAGAACTTTGTGAAAACAGCGGATTCTGGGTTTTGCTTGAAAAAATCTCTTTTCTTTTTTTGTTTTTGAAGTTTTGAACTTTTTTATAAAAAAAAAAACCCAGTTTTCCAAGGCAAGGATGGGTTGTTGTAGCAGCAAGAATAGATTGTTAGGAGCTGATCTCAATGGCAACACGTCAATCAAAGATTCAAAACAAGTTAATCAAGAAGAAAAAGTTCTGAAGTCTCAAACACAAGCTCCACAAGCAAGGCACCGCCACCACCAGCAACAGCAGCCACCACCGCAACCGAACCCTTCACCGGAATGCACAGAGTCGGTTCAAGTGAGGCACGAGACAGTGTTAGGGAAGCCATTGGAAGACATTAAGGAACACTACACACTCGAACAGGAACTGGGCAGAGGCCAATACGGGATAATTTACTTGTGCACAGAAAATTCAACAGGCAACACTTACGCCTGCAAATCCATATCGAAGCGAAAGCTGAAAACTAAACAAGACAAAGATGATGTCAAGAAAGAGGTTGAAATCATGAAGCATTTGTCCGGTCAGCCTAACATCGTGGAATTCAGGGGTGTTTTTGAGGATGTACACTCTGTTAACATCGTAATGGAGCTTTGTGCTGGGGGTGAGCTTTTCGATAGGATCATTGCCGAGGGTCATTATTCTGAGAGAGCCGCAGCAGCTATTTGTAGACAAGTCCTAAACGTGGTTCAGATTTTCCATTTCATGGGAGTGATGCACCGTGATCTTAAACCGGAGAATTTCTTGTTGTCTAGCACGGATTATGGCGCTATGTTGAAGGCAACCGATTTTGGGTTATCCGTCTTTATCGAAGAAGGTTCATTTTCCACCATTTCCTGTTTGATTCAGATGACGTTTTGCATTGCTGCTCATGTACTAATGCGTTTGAATTTCGTCACAGGGAAGCAATATTGCGACATAGTCGGTAGTGCTTATTACATAGCTCCCGAAGTCCTGCGACGGAGTTACGGAAAGGAAATTGACATATGGAGTGCAGGAGTTATTTTGTATATTCTACTTAGTGGTGTTCCTCCATTTTGGGCTGGTAATTTAGGAAATTGACATGTTTTAGCAAGTTGTTGCTGTTCTGTTTGTCATAATGTTTATGTGCTTTGATGGACATGTATTGCAGAAACTGAGAAAGGGATACTGGAGGCCATTCTTGAAGGAGTAATAGATTTCGAAAGCGATCCATGGCCTTCGATTTCCGAGAGTGCCAAGGATCTAGTGAGAAAGATGTTGACAATGGACCCCAAAGAACGGCTTACTGCTGCACAAGCTCTTGGTCTGTAATGGTTTCTTTATACAACTTTTGATTCTGATGCCTTTGATTAACATGTAATGTTCATATTGTTAGAGCACCCTTGGCTGAGAGAAGGTGCAGCATCAGACAAGCCTATAGATTCCGCTGTTCTAACCAGATTGAAGCAATTCAGAGCAATGAATCAGCTGAAGAAGCTTGCATTGAAGGTACGGTATCTAACTGGATCAAAGAAGCTCCAATTGATATGTTTAAACCTTTGAATTATACCGGTCTAGACGCTTCTTTCGTTCTTCATCCTATAATGTTGGTTTATATGAAATTATCCAGGTCATTGCAGAAAATCTATCTGAAGAAGAGATTAAAGGTCTTAAAGCAATGTTCACAAACATTGACACAGATAATAGTGGCACAATCACTTACGAAGAACTGAAAGAAGGTTTGGCTCGTCTCGGATCAAAGCTAAACGAAGCTGAAGTCAAGCAATTGATGGAAGCTGTAAGTATTTATCTACCCCAACTGTTTACACTTTTGCTTATAGTTGATTATTGAAAATTTATGTTCAATGCGTTTTCAGGCTGATGTGGATGGAAATGGAACGATAGACTATATTGAATTTATCTCAGCTACAATGCATAGACACAGACTCGAAAGAGATGAACACCTGTACAAAGCATTCCAGCATTTCGACAAAGATAACAGCGGGTGAGTTCCGAGTTTTCATGTTATCATTATTAAAGTTTCATCCTTTTTACTCATCAAATGCTAAACTGTCTGCAATCCCACATTGTACATTGAACTCATTGTCTACTATCTATGTGTTGGTTTCGTACTCTCATTTACGACGTTCTAGATCTTCTCCTGGACTCTTGAGTTCTTTTCCAGGACAAATTCATGGACTGCCCTTTGATTCATATAAATATTATCATTGTTTGCAGGTTCATTACAATGGATGAACTAGAGGCTGCTATGAAGGAGTATGGAATGGGTGATGAAGCCAACATCAAGCAAATAATCACTGAGGTGGATACCGATAACGTAAGTTTGTTTCCGAATCGATCTTGGTGTTTTCTTATAATTACATTACCGGTAGTACTGATGCTGTTTACATTAATCAGGATGGGAGAATCAACTACGACGAGTTCTGCACAATGATGAGAAGTGGAGCACAAACCGGAAGGCTCTTTTAGAGGCCTTTTGGATGTTCCATTACGGTAGCTGAGTTGCTTAAGACTGAAGTAACCTAATTAGCAGTGTGACACCAGTAGGTATTCATGGTCACTAACTATCTTGATCCTAAAACGGGTAATTCGAGGATACGAGAGTATGAATTTGAATCTGTTTGAGTCACATTCTTGTTTATGTATATCTACATTCTGGATCATTTATCTATCATTTTCCGAGTTCTATTATTGATTATCACCTTCTTTCCTTTCATTATTCTACATATACGGTATTTCGATGTTACTATATCGAAGCGCAGCCGTATAACATAGCTCCGGTGACCGCTAACCCTTCTTCTTTAAGAACTTAGGCCACTGGAACCACCTAGAGGGCTAGATATAAAGTTCACAGTTCCCCATTAAGCCTTCAACAGTTCGATTAATAATACAAATACGATAAGGGTACTCGGTCTAAAGATGTAACCCCTTAAACATGATTATAACACATGAAAATAACAATATGAACACGATAAGAATACTGGGTCTTAAAATGTTTAACTTTCGTTTCGCAATCCTGACTGTGAGCTAAGTGTTGAACTCCAGTACTTCTCGATCTCCTCTGCTGTCCTTCCAGGGGTTCTCCCAGCAATCAAAGACCACCTGATGCATGCAAATAAATCATTAAAATTACTACAAAACAAATATATATACATACATACACAGACACATATGTATACATCTTGTGTAATGATGGATAAACCTTTGTCCAACTAAATTAAACATTCTGGCAATAAACATCTCTTCATCCTCAGAGAATTCCACCTTGGTCTCCTCTGTTCTTCCCTCTGCAACAATATAAACAACAAACATTAAAAGAAAAAAAAAGAAGCTGAGAGATTGTAAAAGATTATGCAACTATGCGACCTTTGGGGTTGCTTGAGCAGTGACGATTGGAGTCTCCCATGGATTCCCCACAGGAAGAGCCTGTACTGCTAGTAGCCACGCATAGTGTAGCGAGAGCATGAGTTTGCAGTATTCATGTGATGAAAAATCAACAATACTTGTGGAGACTGTTAGTTCCGAAAGTTGATGAGTCGTTGAGGTTGTGCTCTGCCTAGTGCTCCGGAGTTTGGATTTTAGTGTCTAAATGAAGAGAACATGATGCTGCTATGCGCATTGCTGTTGATTCCTTTTGTCCCTGCAAAAGATCATCAAATCTTTTTCACATCATTGACTCCTGCTTATCTCTGGTTGTTTGCATTTTCATAGGCAACTATATATTTTGGAATTAGCTGAAGGAGACGAGGCTCAAATCAATATTATCACTACAAGACAAGAGAATGTTACAAACATGTTTACACACACCAAACGTTGTCACAGAATATCATAAACTTATTTATCACTTACCAAAACTAGGATGTCGCTTTTGATATATATAAATGTAGGTAGTTAAAAGAGGAAGGAAGCCGAAGCTCGATTAAGATGATTCCTTCTTAAAAAACAATATGTAATCAGTTTAGAGTTGGAATTTTAATATCTTCAACTCTTTTCCGTGCACAAACTAAAAGGACTTATAGATTAATAATTAAATAATCGTAAGTAAAGCAAAGATAAAAAGGAAATATTACGATAACAGTGTTGAATGTGGAATAGGCAGTATCACAAAATATACAAGGGAAGGGTCTTGATTATTACCCTAATGTATCCACATTTTGACTAGTCGGTTATGCCAATATTTTGAGGATTAAGGGAGTGCTCGACATTGTAATGCTTGGACTAGGTCATTTCTCCATTACTAACCTCAATAGTAACTGGGGGATAGAATAGCTTTTAGACATTGGATTTTGTTATATTTTTCAATTTAAAATATTAATAAAAAAAATTATTTAAAGAAAACTAAAAATCTAATTTTATTAAGTTGGATAAAATTTTTATAAAATTTAAGACCAAAACATAAATTAATCATTCAAGGGACTAGGATCACTATCTATCTTTTGAACGTTATCTCTTATTAATAAATTATTAAGACACTTTGATTTTATCACACAATTATTATTTTTACATACGATCAAATTTATTAAACATTAAAATTATATTTTACATGTGTTAAGAAAATTGATCAACAATCTATTAAATCAAAAATCGCATTATGATCTTTAATCATAACTTCATTCAATTAAATAAAATAATATATCTTGCTTCTTATTTATATTTTCTTGCAAAAAAAAGGCATCTTTATGAACTCGTTGGGTTATCTTAATTTATTTGTGTATTTGATCTTTGAATTTGTAAAATTTATTAATGTTGGATGTATGAATTTCCCATTTTACTTATTCGAGAAGATAGGCTAAAATCTATTAAAAAAGAAGAAGAATAAGGACTAGTATGTTAATTTATTTATTATTCTATTTAAGTTGAATGATTTTATCTATTCTTTTATGGAGTTGATCACCCAATTCCATTTAAATAAATTAGAGCCTGTCCTAACTCTAACAGTCCTTTTCATATAAAACATGTTTCCACTTTCTGCTACTTTGATCAAAATTAGGGCATAATTGTAATGAGAAAACCTTAATACTACTGATCTTTTCCTAATTTTATAATATAAATGATAATATTTATATTTTAAAATAAAAATATTTGTTATCAAGATAAATAAAGTTGGAAGAATATTGAATTGTGGTTCATAACTTTCTTATTTATAATCACATGTTTCATTTAATTTAATTTAATTATATTTTTATATTCTATAACTTTTTAAATAATATATTTTATATATACAAATAATATTATAAAACAAACTGATATATTCGAATTAAAATTGTTATATAACAATTTCTTATTCCAGTTTGCAAAGATTATGTGGTCAGGGTACACTTATTTCTCTACATCAACCATAAAATTTCTACATGTATATTCATGATTCAACCAATATCTTATAAACATCACCCTCTTACGAAAAAATACAAATCTATACCATTGTTTAATTGAATGAATCAAAGAATTAAAGAAAGTATACACATATATATGTAGGGATCAAAACAACTTGCTTGCAAATTCATCAATGGGGGATCCTTCTACACGAGAATATCTGGATTTTTTAGCCAAGTCCCTCAGTTCCGATAAGCTTCGTCCCAGTTGCAATGCCACCTTCATTTCAAACAACTCCCCGTTTTCTCTTCTCTCCAAGTCAGATTCATCCAACGTTGATTCAATCAATTCTTGCACAAGCTTAAAGAATCCGGCGTTGTTCCTATACATCTCAAACACCATACCCACTTGTCCACCGTGCTCCAACGTGTTAACGGTTGAAGCTAAAGCTCCTGTGACGGCTGCCATTGTTGCAGCCCAAGGATTGTTTGAGCAAACCATTAAGGCTGATGCAAATCCAGTAAGTAATGGTCCTGATTTAGCTAGAACTTTGTTTATCTTCAATGCCTTGTTGCCTAATCTATCGTAATCTTCACCGTCTTTTTTCTTTATCACCTCAACAACTTCCTTCATTTCCATTTCCAATTCCTTGGTCCATCCATTGTTGTTGCTCTTCATTTCTCCATTGCCACGCTTTGATTTGTTTCTGGGCCACCAAACAGCTGGCTGAAAAGTTTCCGGGAATTTTTCAAGCATTACACCGAGCAAAGGGAGAGGGTAAGCTTTGTCAAGTGCCAACACTTTCTCCATAGCGTCGTTCACATCTTCTTGTGTGGGTGATCCAACAGCAACTAGGGTTTTTATTTGGTTTTCCAGCTGCTTAAACAATCTCGTGGCATTTCGTTGCTCTTCGACTAGTTGTGAAGGTTGAATCGTGTTCATCAACACCAACATCCCAGTGGCTGATAAGAACAGAACAGTAGATGCCAACTTTAAACCCACCCCAGAGCCACCGTCGCCGCCAGTGGCAGAAGCAACACCAGCCATGGTGGTCGCAGTGAGAGTCATCATGTTGATGGAGTTAAGCAGAAGGGTGTTCCAGTTATCTCGTTGTTCTCCCACGTTTTGATGCGTCTCCACTCTATCAGCTACCGCTTCCGAGATAGCATAAAGTTGTTGTAAAGTAGCCATTGAATTTGAAAGAGATGAGCTTTCTTGCAGCAATGGTGTCTCGTTAACCTTTCTGTCGATCGGGATTGTTTTGATGAATCCATCTCCAGTTATCTTGGGTTGTAATTTAGGAGCTGACAACCTGATTAACGGGAGCTTTGGGACTGAAATGGCGGCATGGATTTTGTTTGAAGAAGAAGATAGAAAAAAATTAGAAGCTTGTAAAGAAGCCATGCATATATGATTATGGATTTGTATGAAAACAGCAGAGGAAATTAGAATTAATTTGAGATTGATCTTTGAGCGAAGGAAAGATTGGATTTTTAGATGTTCTTTAGAGATGAAAGGTTAGGGGCTTAGGGCTCATTGAGCGTCATTTATAGCGAACCCATGGATACTGGGTCTGGTCTGGTCATCTGTTGGAAATTTTGACCGACTGATTGAATTGACTAAGCCGTCCCATTATATTGGCTGACCTATTAAAACTTTGTTTTGTTCAATTTTATGTAAAAACTGAAATATATATATTTGACTGCTTATTAGTCGATAAAGAAGTAAAAAAAAATATGGATAAGCATTGAATGTTGCGATAAAATACATTTTTATTAAACTTATAACCTCTTAAAGTTACTAATTTATTTAACATTCGATTTTCTTAAAATATTGTTTTAAAAAAAAACTTAATCCATCAAATTTCCATTCAATAATATTAAATCACGGACATTGTTTCCTGTATAATTTCTTGCAAAAGAAGGCATCCATGTTAGTCTTTTGAATTAAACTTGAGTTCACTCTGTCAATGCATTTATTTATTTTAATTTTAATTTGGGAGTAGTTGAAAATTATATATATATTTGGATAAAATAGTTGAATAACCTTTAGATATACATATATTATCGTGCTTTTGTTGAATTTGTAAACTTTATTTGATTATGTGTTGATTTCTTTTACTTGTTCAAAAACATAGGTTGAAGTATGAATTTTATATTCTTATTTCCTCGCAATCTAATTTCAATAAATCATACGCACTCTTACATTTTCTAACAATTTTTCGTATAAATCATCGATAAAAAGTATTTTAATTAGAATGATTTTTTCAACGTTTTAAGGTTTGAATCTAAGTTATTATCAAACTGAAGGCTAATCAACACACATTCTTGATCTCGTGTCAAAATTGGTAGGTCTAGTAAGTATTAATAGATAACCTCAAGTACTTTTGTAATAATTTTTCTGCTTTTTGTCGACGACGTTTAATACCAGCAAGGAAGTTTGAGAATTTTAAGATTTAACTTCTCAACATATTTATTTAATTTTTAACTCAAATAATTATAATTATTAATTTGATAGTTTATTATAATAATAGATAATGACCGTAATTATTTATAGTACGATTTTTAGTTTCCAAATTAACAAAACTAATGGGTGATATTTATGTGCATTTTTCTGCATGCATGAACGTTGAATGTCTGGATTAATTGATTTCGAACAATGAAAAAAATAAAGTTGAGTATTTAAACCCTATTACGTCTCAAATGAAAAGAGAAAAAACTCAAATTAGTATTGAGAGAGATAATCAGGAATCAAAAGACTAACTAGTATAGACCACCCGTAAAATAAATCTAGAGGATATATAATTTAATTGTAAAAGGAAATATTAGAAAGGGAAAACAGGCATGATATGCAAGGTGAGTAGAGAAGAAGGAGACAGAAGGGGAGTTGTTTGGTTTAGAAGCTGAATTATTATTACACGTGTTATTGGCGTTGAAAGCCAGGTGACCCACCAACAGTTTGGTGATACGCCACCATTACCATCAACTGGTCTAATTTGTGACCCTAATATTTAAGCATGTCGTTTAAGTTCCAAAGTTTAGAGCTTGTTTCTTTTTTCCTTGCTGCTTCCCCCAAACTAAACATGTTCGATACATGCATGCAATCCATGCATAGGCATTGAATGTTTCAAGCAGCCTCTTCTTTTATCTTTATGTAATTAAGTCAGAGCTATTAATTTGGCCGATTCAACCCATAATCCAATCATCGTCTTTAAAACTAAGGTTTACGTTATATTTGTTTCCCTGTAATTGATTTTTCAAAAAAAAAAATTTCTCATTTTATAGTGTTTGATTGATGGAGAATAGATGGTCAATGTAATTTTTTTCCGTAAGTCATTTTACTAACTTTTCACTTCAAAAGATAAACACTCAAAATATTATTATTTTATATATTTCATATTAATATATTATTTTAGTATTATTTTAATAAAAATATTTAGTATTAAATTATATTTATCGATAATTTTTATAATATAATATAATATAATATTTTTATTTTAATAATATATAATAAATTATTATTAAAAACTAATTTTATTTATTAATTTCATAAAAATAATATTATTGAATTGTTAAATATTTAAAATATATTCCTTAAAATATAATATAATATTCTTATTTTAATATTATAAGTTTATTAGTTTAATAATATTATTATTTTAATAAGTAATTAATATACTTAATTATATATTATTTTTATTTTAATAAATATTTAATATAATTATAATATTTTATTTCAAAAAATATAATAAATATTAATATGTTTATTTGAAATTGTAGATATAATATTTTAATAATAATGTTGACATAAATAATATTAGATAAATTATTTTAATATTTAAAAAATAATATCATTATTTTGTTAATAAATAATATCATTTATTACATTTGATGTTTATAATAAAAAAAAATTTAAAAAAATTATCAACTAATGAAAAATGATTTACACAACATCATCCAAACAATTTAATATGATTTTCATAAAATGTTTTCCAGGAAATGTAATTCATTTTCCGGAATCTGTTTTCCGTTAAACAAACGAACCCTTAGATTATGATATTGTTATTAACGGATCCAGAAATATTTTTGAGAGTATATACACATATTAATTATTGAAAATTTTTATATTGTGTGGGCACAAACAAAATTTCAAGGTGGGCACCTATAGTGAAATGAACAACTAATGTAGAGAAATTTGGATTCTAAGTTCCGCACGTGCCCAAGTATGCTTTGCATTCGCCGCCGTGAGATACTATCCTATTTTTCTCAAAATTATAAAAAGATAAAAAAAATATTTTATATCATACAATATGATATAATAAAATTAATTTTAAAATGATTTACTAATTTATAATAAAATTTATTTTAATTTATTAAATGTATATATATATTTTGATATATGTATATAATAATAAATACAATTTGATATTAAAATTAATTTTAGTAAATCTTAAATTAGTTTTAATAATCGATTGAGTTTTATTCGGTTGGCATGTCGTTGGAATAAAACAAAGGAGGATATAGGATTGAACATATTTAAACCTTCAAATGTCCTCTGATTTATAGATGGAGAAGAGTTTGAATAGTATAGATGTTATATCGATCTATTAAAAATATTTTTAAATAAATTAAAACTCTCTCAATATTATTACATATTTATAGATATTTAAACTAAACATAAGGTAATTTTTACCTTTATAGTAGATCTAATTTATCACTTCGTCCCTATCGTATTTTCGCATCAATTTAATCTTTGAACTTGTCTAATTGCATCATTCTATATATTCCTCTAACTTAAAATCCTAAATATAAACACTAAACCCTAAATCATAACCCCATAACATCTATATCATGCACTCTAAAACCTAAACCTAACTTAGAGTTTATAATTTAGGATTTTAAATTAGGGGTATGGTGTAGAATGATGTAATTAAATAACTTTGAGTGCATAATTGATGTGAAAATTCAATAAGGATGAAAATGATATATTAGGCCGACTACAATAACAAAATTAACGCTTAAACTACTTACTCGATCAAGAGTTACATTAAAAATATATTTTTAATTATTAAGTATATAAAAAATAATTCAAGTGGTAATTAAAATTTGTTATAGAATTTATATGGAGTAATAATTATCAGGTTTTCTTAGTTTTTTTATTAGATAATATTTCTAGACATTATAGATTCAATCTTTGATAAAATAGTAATTATATGTAATAATAGAGATTATATTCCAAACTTTGTATGTTTTCCAAGTAAAATTATATTTGATAGATGTTAACTTTTATTATTTAATTTTGTGTTATATGTATTTTATTTTTATTATTTTTAGTTAATAATTAATTATAATTTAATTGATAATATTATTATCTTAAACTCTTAAAAATTATGAATTCGAGTATATTTGGGAGTGTATTTTCCACTCATATGATTATAATTAATTAGATATAAATTTAATCTTAAATAAAGAATAAAATAAATTTAAAAGTCAACCATTTCAAATAAGAAATAAAAGAGGGGGGAAATGAAATAAACTAAAAGGTAAGGGAGCCTATGAGAAAAAAATAAAAAAATACTTAAAAGAACAAACGACGACTCGTCGTTGCCAACGAGAATGGCCGTCCTTATTGACTCCTTTCCCTCTCTTCTTCTTTAGCTCTCAGAATCTCATTTGATCCCTTACTCTGCAGATTCACAATATTAATTTTCACCCTCCATTTTCCTTTTTTGTTTTTTAACCTTTTCTCTAATTCGGTTTCCTAACAAAAGCATTTTAGAGATGAGTCAATTACTGTTCATGGTGATATTCTCGGAGATGGCGGTGATCATGGTATTGTCATTCAAGACCCCGTTTAGGAAGTTGGTGATAATGGGTCTGGATCGGCTCAAGCAGGGACGAGGCCCGGTGGTGGTTAAGACGGTGGCCGGAACAGTGTTCGTTGTGATGATGTCGAGTCTATACAGCGTGATGGTTACAAGCCGCTAATTATCGTGTCTAATTGGCATCTTAAAGCAAAGGAGGAACAAGCTCGGATTTTTTTATTCAACTTCCTTCTTTCTTCCTGTCGGTTCAATTTGATGAAGGTTGAAATATATAATTGTGATTATTTTAGCGATTCAAGGAGCTTGATGCTATTTAAGTGAGGTTTTAGATTCGAATTTTGTGAACAAAGAAAAATAAAAAGGGAGAGTTTTCCACTGTTCAAGGGTTCGAGTTTAGATGTATCTCTTAAATTTTAAATATAATTTCTTAAGTTCATATTTGCTTAAAAAATAAAATTATATATCTATCCCAGTCTATGTTAAACATAGATATTTGATACATATTTAGGCATGAACTCAAGAATACAATCTTTCGAATATATGAGAAAACTTCAAAATAATTGAACGTAATGATCTCATATATTTCCTCTTATCTAACACTCATTGTCGTTAATATAGTCTAGGACTACTTTGTGACAATGTATTCTTTTCCTTAGGGAATGCAAAATTTTCATTTTCTTCCTGGATTTTAATGATAACTTGTTGCAGGGGGCACACTTTTCCTAGCACTAATGATAGATAGATTACACCATTATATCAAAGAACTCCGGATAAGGAGGAAGAGCATGGATGCTCTCGGGAAACAAGTTGATTTGGACAAAGTTAAAGCCTTGGAGGAAGAAGTAACCCCTCTTCGTGGAAAACTTAAGCAGTTGGTATCCGATATCAAGACAAACACTAAACAGATCAGTGCTGCAGAAGTTAATTCAGTTGCTTTAAGGAAACAATCCGAAGGTTTGCTTCTCGAGTAGAAAGCCCCCAGAGCCAGTTGAAATCTTTGGACCGGAAATTGTCGCGTTCAGATAGAAAGAAGAATATGTAAGGAACTCAGCATCTCTTGCTAATTGTGCTTTCGATTCCATTATCTATTTTCGGGAGTTCTCTAATGGAATTGTTGGTTGCTGTTAACTTGAAATTCACGCATGATTTTGCAGTGTAAAAAATTTCTAAGGCTGGAGAAATTAGCATCTGTTAGTATTTTGGGGGTTAATGTGCATTACTTCACTGGAAATGAAATGTTGAATGGGTGAGTTTTGGAAACCATTCTAAGATTTTTCATGCTAAGTTTTTTGTTAGTGTTTTAACTCAGCTCGAGATCGGCTGAGTTTCAGTTACATAAACATGGAATTGTGGTTGGGATCGGAGTTCAGGTATATATAACTGGAAGTCGGATCGGAATTAAGGACGGAAAGAAACTACCACAGTATGTTGAGATTAAATGTTACAACAGGTCGTTGCAGGTGAGGCGGATTTTTGTCTGCCCAACTCTGATCTGACACAGTTAACTATAACTGAAATTCGATTTCAATATAATTTAATCTGTTTCAAATTCGATCTCGAAAATGAACAGTATATCCGATTCAATAAGCACATAAGTTAATCATTACATACATAAATATTGTCCTTAAACCTTCTTAAACCGTTAAAGAACAAAAGCAAAGTATATATGTCAGGAAAGTACAAAAGCAAAAGCAAAAGTGATAAACACCATAATAAAAAGAAACTACATACATATTCTCTTTGTCTCTCTCTGAATTTCTTGACAATAAAACAATACATATCCCAGTGGAGAAGCTAAGAACACAGCTTCCACTATTACTCCAATGGATTCTCTGATCTTCCCCAACAATAAAATTTCTTCATTTCTCTGTTTTTGTTCCTTAATCATTCCGTATCTTAGCCTCATAGAAGCTCAAGCAAGCCTTTGTAGAACCACCTGTGGTGAGATCCCTATAAACTACCCCTTTGGGATCGACGATGGATGTGGCAGTCCTTATTACCGACACATGCTTGTTTGTTCCGACCTCGGTAAGCTTCAGCTCCGTACGCCTTCCGGTCGGTACCCTGTCCGCAGCATTAGTTACTCCGATCCTCATATCCTCGTCACCGATCCATTGATGTGGAATTGTCAGGACGGCGATAACTTCCGTCCCACTAGACCTTTTAGCCTCGATACCAGCACGCCCTTCACGCTTTCCTCTCAAAACGATTACCTCTTCTTCAACTGCAGCAAGGATTACGTGATCGTTGAGCCAAAGCCTATCTTCTGCGAGAGATTCCCGGACCGCTGCGATTCGTCATGCGATAGCGCTAGTTATCTTTGCAGGCATTTACCTGAATGTGCCACTGCACTTAGTAGTAGTTCTTGCTGCTCGTACTACCCGAAAGCAACCGAGTCCCTAAGGCTGATGCTGCGGTATTGCGCCTCGTATACGAGTGTGTACTGGAAATCTGTTGGATCAACCACTGATTCTCCTTATAGCCAGGTACCCGAATACGGGATCCGGGTCGATTTTGATGTTCCGGTTACTACACACTGCCTCCAGTGTCAGGATCCATCGAAGGGTGCTGGAATATGTGGATTCGATACACAAACACACAACTTCCTTTGTCTATGTAAGGAGGGAAACGTCACCTCCTATTGTAAAGGTATGTTTGCCATGAGACCTTCAACCATTAGAGTTTAATTACATTTTAAGTCACTAATAGTTTTAAAACTATTAAAATTTAACCCCGACTCCTCCCAAAAATTTTCAGGTTTAATTATTTTTTAATATCCTATCAGTTTTAAAAGTAGCGAAATCAAGCCTTGACATCCAATATTTCTAGTTTAGTTACTTTTTAAGACCTTTCAATAAGATCTAATTCCCTTAATTTTTATGGTATAATTACTTTTTAGAACCCTGTTCGTTTTAAAGTTGTACAATTTAACCCCTTCATAGTTCAATCCTGACTACGTTGGTGTACTTTTACCTGATTTTTTCTTCTTCTTTTCTATTGATTTGTATAATCCCTTCATATGTGGTGTAGATCATGACATTTCAAGTCACAAAAGGGCAGGAGTCATTGCAGGTGAAAATATGAGTAATTATGGTGATGTATGAGTTGTTGATGGTATCGTATTTATCATGATTAATAGATGTGATTGCAATGACAGGGACTGTAACCGGAGTTTCAGCGGCTGGGGTCATAGGAATCGGGGTAGGTGTGTGGGTGTTGAAGAAAGTGAGAGCTAAAGCGCCTGTAACATGTGGGGTTCAAAGCAATGAGAATAGGGTTTTCTGAACAAAGTTTAGTGAGCAGTGTGTGCAAAGTTAAAGCAACTGCAAACTTGTTTCTTTTTCTTATTTTCTTAATCATTCCCAACTGTGTAGGCCAAACATCCCTAATGGATTTTGCTTTTGTTTACCTTATTTATTTATTGCAATAGAAATTCGAGTCTAGTGGATTCACTTAATAATTTTGTAATCATATATTTTAATTTCTTATTATCTATCTCTATCATATTTATATCATGTTATAAATTTTTGGTTTAAAGCTTATTTTTAGATTCGTAGAAAATTGAATTTATTATTTTCCTCTCAATAATATTTTCGTATTAATTTAACTTTTAAAATTATTTAATTGCGTTAATATTTAAAATATTTACTATGACTAAAATATAAATTCCCCACCTAATTTACGACTCATAACCTACGATTATTTATCAATGATAGCGTAACTTGTGAATCCGACTCCACTCCCACTCTAAAGTCAATACTTTTTCAAAATTTCACAATCAAATCCAATGCTAATTTTATAGTGGGTATCTCTATATGATATGTGAAGTTGCAGTGATGGAGCCGAAAAACATAGCATAAACTTTTTTCCTATGGTCTTTCTTTCATCATACCTCTACACTTAGCAGCACCTTCTTTAAAAGTCCCGTCAACGTTGAAGTTGAGCCAACATTCCTTTGGCGGTGACCACTCTACTTCTGCTTCAAAAGTTGCTTTTATCCAACATATTGAGCTAAATTTGAATATATATAAAAGGTTAGGGTGCGTTTATATTGTGTAAAATTCTTTTCGTTTTACATATTTTTAAAATCGTTGGATTGAAGAAAATTAAAGGTTGAGATTAACTTTTTATTTTTTAATGAATATTTTCTCATTTTCTACTTTTAATCTCATCATTTAATTTCTCTCCTCTAATCATTCTAAAAAAAGGTAAAATCAAAAGAGTTTTACACAATGTAATTAGATTATGCTATATATATATATATATATATGAGCAATAAGAGGTTTTGCCCAAATCTACGTGAGATTTTTTTGTTCGAATCCTTCTTGTCAGGGGTTTATTCGGGTTTTAAATGTTGGTGAAGATTACGGATATTGATTTAACCCAAAATTGATGGATTTCAAACTGATCTGATATGTTAGGATCAGATTTAATAAAATCGAATTCGGGTTATATCAAATTCTAAAAGGGTCAGAGTTGAGAGGAGAATATATATTTTTAGGTCAAATCAAATCGAGTTGACCAAAAATCTGATCAAATCTAACCCGTTGTCATCCCTAGAAGTTGGCTAATAGGTTAGGTAAATATAAATAGTTGAGAATCCGGTACCCGCAGGCCTGAGGTGCCAAAAATTTTGACCCATGACCGACCCTTGACCCGTGAAAAAATAACGAACTGAATCTGAAAATTCAAATATTTTAAAAAAAATCGAATAGTTTTATTTGAATTGATGGGTCAATGAATAGAGTAATTTTAAATGCTCTAGTCATGACCCTGCTTTTCTGGTCAACAAATAAGAATATAGTTTCTAAAAAATTTTACTAAACGAAGAAAATGATTGAAATGTAAATACCGGTAGTTACCTACCGACCTATATATATATATACACATACACACGTACTAACACTCGGCTATGTTGTTAGATTTCTTCAACTATAACACTTGAGGGGAGCAAAGCTTTTAATTTGTTTATCGGCCACGTAAAATATTATGGCTTTCAATCAACAATACATGACAGATATTCCCATAGGTTTTTGATTTAACCCAACCGATGAAGTGCTGATTGAATGCTACTTGTCGAAGAAAGTGAAAGGCGAAGCATTACCTTGCGATATCATCCGCGACTGCATAATCTACAGCGGCGAAGATAAAGAGCCATGGAAGATTTTCGGCGAGACTTGTTCTGAAACCTTTTACGTCTTCACGAAGCTGATGAAGAAGGGCAAGGTAAGAGCCGGTCGGATTGCTGGTTGCGGCTCTTAGAAAATTCAAATAACCGAAGATGTTAAAGATTCCAACAATCGTCTTATTAGCTTCAAAAAAGCTGTTTGTTTTCGAGGTTAAACCTTCCAAAGGTTTCAACAAGGGATGTTGGCTGATGGCGTGAGTTTTCACTCGTTGGAGACGATCAAGTAAGTTCCTTATTTTACTTCGTCAAAATAGCATTTTCCTTCTCATGTGTTATATTTAGGATTTATGATGTTTTGTTTAATTTTATGACTTATGAGTTAAGGTTTTCATTCAAATATATCAAGATAATATTCAAATAGATATATCTGTGGAATAATTTTTTTTCGCTATGAGTGCATGAAATATAACTTATTTTTTCTCAAGAATCAGAAATAACCATCTTCTCATCATCCATGGATGTAAGCTTTTCTTTTCTTTCTTTATTTCCGTTTTTACTGTTATATGTATTGTTGGAGCCGAGGTTTTTAGTGTTGATATTTTGAAGAATTACTCTTTTACTGAAGATCTAGGGACGATGATCTCTTCCATAAATTACGTATTTACTCGCTGACTTCCTATCTTATTCCTTTTGCACTCGTATGCAATTATGTTGCCCCAATTGATTCGGCTTTCCATTGCTTTTTGTTGGCATCACTCACCTCGAAATTGCTAAATTAGTTCATTAATTTAATGTTTACTTTTTTTAATTTTTTAAAAGGTTTTTATATTTTTATATATTCTCTGGATTTTTTTAATTATTTTGGGTTTTTAGAATTAGGACCAAATTGATAAAATTAGAAATATGAATTGAATTTATTTTTAACTATGATCAAGTTGATAAGATGTATTAGTTTGAAAACTAAACATGTTATCATATCACATCATCGTTTTAATCATCTTTTTAAGGACACGTGACCAACACGAAATAAAAACGTAATATCAGTGATTAAAATGAAACTTGTAGAAGATGGACGATAAAACCAGAAATGTTATAATAATTGAATGAGTAAATAATTTTATTTTATTTTTTCGGGGTAATAGTTGCAAACATGGGGTTAAAATCTAAATGTATTCTTATTTAGGGGTAATTATCACTAGTTTCTTTTGTTAGCAGCAGGAGTGTTTAACTTATAAATCTAATGTAGAGTATAGACATGCACAGAAGCCGGATTTCAATCCGATCCGGATTGGTTTTTATCTGATCCAGTTTTTTCCCATAGACAAAAAACCGGTTTATAAAATAACCGGTTCGGATTCTAACCGGTTTGGAGGGCCAGATATCCTAACCGGTGTAATCGGTTTCGGTTTGAAAAAAACCGGTTTTTTTTAAAAACCTGTTATAAAAAACCGATTATAATATTATTAAAATTACATCGTCATCAATTGCAACAAAGTTTACAATAATTGAAATACTTAAATACTTCCAAGTTCGATAAATTCAAATACTTAAAAACTTCCAAGTTCTATAAATTCAAATACTTAAAAACTTCCAAGTTCGATAATTGAAATAAAGTTTACGATAATTGAAATAAAGTTTAAAAATAAACTACATTGCCATCTCTTCTTCATCATCTTCGCCTTCTTCGTTTGGAGGGGATATTCCAAGCTCGACTTCTTCAATGTGTAAGTTTGCTTCCAAATCGGCATCAATTGCATCTTCTAGGGTGATAATATGTTGCTTTCGAGCCGCTCCATCCAAATAATCCTTCAAACAAATGCATACTTCCACCGACTCGGGACTTAGTCTTGATCTCCGTTGCGATATAACCCTGCCACTAACAGAAAAAGCGAATTCCAAAGCTACCGTAGAAGCTTGGACGGTTAGTAAATCACGGGCCATGGCGGCTATAATCGGAAATTGTGCTTCCTTTTCTTTCCACCAAGCCAAAATATCCAAACTTTCAAATTCTTCAAATGTCATTTTTGATAGAAAATCGCATGACATGTAATTTCCCAACTCGCTACTTGGGGTGGTAGTACGTGATCGTTTGGATTGAGAATTTACAAGAGTGTTAAAAAGATTCAAATTTATGTTACTTGGACGTCTACTAGATGATTCCGCATTCATTCTCATTTGATCGTGTATTACACTACTTGATCTGTATTTAGTTAAATAAAATGCAAACATGTCTCGAAAACATTTGTTAAAATAATTTATTTGGTTTTGGACAAAGTTGGGTTCATCATCGGTTAAATTAAAAGCAAACATAATTTGTTCAATTAGTGTTTCAACCCCGCCAACATTTAACATTGGGTTTAAAGCGGCCGCACAAGTAAAAATGGGGAGAATCTCCTTAAAATATTTTAAAAATTTTTCATTCATTGCAAAGCTAATTTTTTGAAAAACTTCGGTTTCAAATTCAAAGTCATTTAGTCAGGTAGCCAACAAAAATATTTAATTAAGAACCAACGAGCTAGTAGGGTAATAAACACTGGATAAAAAAGTTGTTGCATTTTTAAAAACCCCAAGCAAATCGGTTATTTTGGCTATAGTTTCTCAACTCAAATCCGGATAAATGTTTAGGACATGGCCCCTCTCGAAAAGTCGATCGTGAAATGTTTGCAATGTTTCCCTTTGCCTAAGGCGGTATGCATCATCATCCAAATTGAGTTCCAACGAGTTGGACAATCCAAATTAGGACCCAAAGTTTTTTTATTAATCGACTTACAAAATCGTTTATAATCATTTAGTCTTTTGTTGTTGTTACAAAGAACCGATTTTATCATTGTTTTAAATTCTAATCTAATCAGCTCAATAACCTCTAAACCGGCTTGCACGGATAAATTAATTATGTATGCAACGCAACAGGTATGAAAAAACGCACGTCTAAAATCGGTGAAAGTAATATTTTCAATCTTGGAACCGCGTTTGTATTATTCGATGCATTATCAAAGGATATAGAAAAAACTTTATTTTATAATTTATAAAGACAAATTACCCTTTTTAAAAGTGTAAATAAATTAGCACCGGTATGCGGCTCACCGAATAATTCAAACGCGATTGCTCTTTTCATCATTTGCCAATTATCTTGATCTAACCAATGTGTCGTAACGGCTAAAAAAGAATTTCCGGTATTATGAGGGGAACTCCAAACGTCACATGTAAGCGACACACCATAACGATGTTCTTGGAATCTTAAAATCATTTTTTCCCTCGCCGTACGCCTCATTTTTATAGCATCTCTTCTAAGGGTAGTACGACTTACTTGAGTATAACGTGGTTGCATTAGTTGTTGAATTGTTGCCGTGAAATCTTCATCATCAAAGTGGTCGAACGGCAATGTTTTTGTAATCACAGACTTTGTAAACGCTTCTCGTAATTTTTTGTTGTCGTAAACAAAAACACCACCTTGCGGTGTAAGATTCGATTAACTTGGATCTGATCTTGAGCGAAGTGTCTTCCATGATTTTGTCAAATGGTTCTTCAACGTTGTGTTTCCTTCCGGTGCAAGCAACTTTAGACAAAGTTTACAACGCGCCCTCCTCGAGCCAATTGACATCTCACATAAATCGTAATGATCCTAAATATCTTTGTTTCGAGTGTGTTCGATCACTCTCACGACTTCAAGGTTTCCCCCGACGGAAGATTCAGCCGTGTTACTCATGATGAACAAAAAATTATAAAAATAAGATTTGAGAGATGTTTAGGTGTTGTGTAATAAGATTTGAGAAAATTGTAATCAACCAAATACATTTCCAATTTATTTATATATGTTTATGGTGGTAAAATGGTAATTTTTTAAATAAAAAAGGGTCAAAAACGGCCACAAAACCCCCAAACGGCTATATTAACGGCTAGTTTTTTAAACACATACCGGGTTTTTTCCAGATAAAAACCGGTTTTTCCCAAATCCGGTTTCGGATATTTTTTACACAAAATCGGATATTCGAATTTTTTGTCACCTCTAGTAGAGCATATAAATCAAATTATAAATAAATATGTACACAACAATTTAAAACTGACATGTTAACTAATAGCATTTTTTTTAATTCGATCGTCCTAGTTTATTTATTAAACATATGGGCATCGTTTCTTTACCATGCTTAAACTTGGGATTTAACCTTTAGATCTATATTTGACGTATAGTTTAGATTTCTCTAATTTTGTAATGTCATTTGTGGGTCCAAATAATCGACATCGTTATCCATTCCAGTTAAAGAACAAACATATCCATATAAGCATAATTCAGTAGTTTACTCGGACAGCAGGGACCAGTTTGATGATAGAAACAAATTAAGCAGAGTCGCAAAATAATTCCAATTTGTATGCCCAACATATTCTGTTCCCCAACATACCCTACAAGTGTAGAGGGGAAACAACAATATGGGATGTCCAACAGAACAATATCCTGTTCTGTTCTTCATCAATACAAATTGCAATCTCCTTATCAATCAATGGAGTATCAAATGAAAGAAACTAAAAGTACAAAGATAAGCCATTTCAATGCATTTAGCTTGAACGAAGACCGACCAACCGGAATGGTAGACAAGAAAGGCCGAATGGAAAATTGAATCCCTGGCTAAGATGAATGTCATATATTAGCTGATGCGGCATGCATGACTCACATCCAAGTATACTTCATTTCACTCTTTCCAGCTGTCCGTGGCGATTTGGTTTCGAATCGGACTCTCCGTCATGAGCTGTCAATCCTAAACTCAAATCCAATGTGCTTTCATTCAGATCTTGTCGTACTACTTTATTGTCCTCCTGAGACGGAATTGAAATTAAGTCAAATGTAGCGGTACGAAAATGAAACTACTCTTTGTAACATTCTAAAAATAGTGGACTTTTTTCAGTGACATGAAAAATGGAGCTACAAAAATGGCCAATCAAACCAGCACCCAAGGGAAAGAAATCAAACAGATAGCAGCACACCTCACTTTCTTCCATTGGAACGTCATTAATGTCGGGTTTTTCGTCAAAACCGTCATTCCTGGAAGTTGGCTCAGCTACACGGGGATCACCCTCACTTGGTTTAGCTTCATCGTCAACATTGTCTGCAGACTCGTTTTCAGCAGCTTCCCTTTCCTGTTCCTCCAACACAGCAATCTGCATGATCAAGTAATCAAAATAATTATATGTTTTACAACCCAAAAACTTAACTGATCCCTAAAATTTGCTATAAAAAGCCATTTGACAAACCTCTGTGATTATTTAATCCGAAACATAACATGAATACTCGACAAAAGCATTTGTCATACATGTTTCAAATGAACAAAGGCAAAAGCACCGTGCATCATGCCAATGGAATGCAATTGGCAACCTCAACAACAGTCAACAAATCGTACAATCTGAATGTTAAAGGATTCAAGACTTCCCAAATCAAATGTCATATGGTTTAGCTCTGTCAGTATGATTACCACAACCAGGTGACTTAAAGCAACTGCATGAGATGTTAGACTAAAAGGATTGTTTCCACAACACGAATCCGTGACCTTCTAATCACAAGGAATCAACATCGTTGTTTCCTACCAAGAGTTCCCCTACCCTGAAAGAAAAAGGGATATATCTATATCATACAAGTCAACTCCTCTTCCGTTCCTATCTCCATCCCAACCATTCCACTAGCATTATATTATTGGTTTTTAAAACATTCCCAAACCTCAAACTGCATCTATAAGTAGGCCTGACAAACTTAACCCGAACCCGATTACCCGAACCGATTTATTTGATCCAATACCCGATATTAATCCGAACATGATAATCAAATTTGATCCGATACTTGACCCATACCTGATCCAAAATTCAGCGATACTGAAATCAAGTAGAACCAAAATTAACCCGAGCCGAAACCGAAATTAACCTGAACCAAAAGCAACCCGAACCAAATTTAACTCAACCCAAAAGCAACCCGAACAGATTGAAATTGATAAAAGTTATTAAATGATAAAAGTTATTTTCAATAATAAATTAATTTAAATAAAATTGATAATTTATTAAAAATATTATATTTATAATAAAATAATAGAAAATAAATATAAAAGTAAGAATCTAATTGTAATATTGAAAATAGTAATAAATAAAGTTTACATATCTTGTTATAAAAATATAAGATTTATAATAAAAATAATATAAAACAACTAAAACAACTAAAACAAATGAAATAATATTAGATTTATAATAAAAATAATATAAAGTTTAATTATGTTACGACTAGAACTTAACAAATAATAACAAATAAAGTTATGTATTATTTTTAAAATTTTAATAAAAATATTAAATTTATAATTGGAAATAATATTTTTAATAAAATTTTTATTTCTTTATCAAATAGTTTTCATTATAAACTTTTCATACGAGATCAATACAAAATTTTGATAACAACTTCTAACACGTATTATAGATCGTATTTGTGTCAAATTATCGATTTATCAGCTCTAAATGATGGTTTAATTCAAAATATTGAACGATTGAGAATTAAAATTAAACCTAAATGATAAAATTAACAAATAAGAAGACATATTTTTACAAGTATATATTGATTATTCTATATATACTTGATTTTGATTAGACTCATAACCAATTCAACCCAAATTGACCTGATCTAAAAATGACCTAAACCGAAAATCAACAGATCCGATATTGATCTAACCCGAAATCTAACCGATCTGGTATTAACCCGACCCAAAAACCAACCAATCCGGTATTGACTCGACCCGATATTCATCTGATCCGATATTGAACCAAACTGGAAAACAACTTATCTAATAATCACCCGACCCAATCCGATTCACCGTACAACCGAACTAGATTCGAACCAGATCCGATCTGAACAAAATTAAACCGAATTTAACCTAAACCCGAAATTATCCGACCTGAAATGACCCGACAAAACCGTTTGCCACCTCTATCTATGAGTACGAACACAAAAAGAAGCTTGATTCTCTACACCATTTATGCATAATTTCCACATTAGCTTTACAATAAAAATTTGTAGATAAGCAAGCCAGGAACAGATTTTGGTTAATACACTGAAATCATTGATCTCCTAAGAAAAATAACTTTTGACCAAAGGAATAAAATCAAATAAACATTATAGAATCAATTAGTAGCAAAATTCCAATTACCCAAATCTTCATCAATCATAATAGTCTTGATAAATCCTTAAAAAAACTACAAAGCAGCCAACAACAAGCCAAATCAAGGTTCCCCTGAATCTAACCAGAAAATAAAACCCTTAAAACAGTATCAACACAAGCAACAGATCACAGATCGAGTAATTATGGAAAAGACACGCCAAAATTAGATCCTAGTTCACAACAAATACCCACCAATAAAGTCAAGAGATAAAAATAAAATAAAAGCAGTATAAACAAGGATGAAAGCTTTAAATCACAACAACAACCAAAGATCGAAATTGATAAAATACCCAAAGAAGAACATACTGGAATGTACTTAAATTTCCGCCTGGGAGGCTCCTCGGGCTCCGCCTCGGCATCGTCCTTGGAGGAATTGTTTGCGTTGCTGTCATTTTGGCTTTGGGATATTGGGGTCCATTTAAAAAGGACGAGATGAGTACCGTTATTACCGTTAGATGTACCATTGCTGCTATGGTGATTTTGAGAATGATTATTGTTGGTGGAGGTGGTTTTGCCTCCGCTTTTAGATGGCGAAACGTGAACCCATTTCTTCTTCCATCTCCTTACCGACCCCGTGAACACAGTAGTCGGTCCGTACCGAGTGGAGGATCGACCGAATCGAGCTCCCACTCCTTCCATTAACTCGGTCGCGCTAGATCGGTGACGAATTTGCCGTGACTCGGTCGAAAATAAAAAACGGAAGTTTCGCTTCTTCGTTTTGTTTCCCCGTCTCTCCTTGTATGTTTGTAAGTGTGGGTTGGATTGTGTGTAGGCAGTTGTAGATTACACAGGCAAATCAGAACCGTTAAAATCCATAATTATTTTATTTAGGTTACCTACATGCTTAATCATTTATGTTTGTGTTGTGTATAATTTTCCTCACTAATTTCAAAAATATAATATATTGTCACTTTCGTTTATACTTAATTAGAATATAGTCACCACGGATTAATTCTCGTTAGACCATCAGCGATTTACTGAACTAACATGACACTTAAATAAAATAAAAATACATCATTTCCACGTTGACCATGTTAACTACATAATTGTTCACTTATGTTTATGTTTTATCCACTTTTCCTTACTCATTGAGAGAGAGAGAGAGGGGAATCTTTTTGGTGATGAAATCATTGATTTGCATAATATAACAAATTTAACAAGTTATTTGATGTGTGGTTGACCATAAAATATCATTCTAGATACTCCATTATTTGCACATTCATGCCTTCAATGTCAATTATCAAACATGTGAACTCATTGTCATCTTTAGATATTTTCATCTCCTAAACCATTTATTCTCATCTTCTCATTTGATTACAAGCCATTATTCTCCTATTCTCTTTTGATTACAAATCTGTTTATATATGATTATTGTTTGATATAATTTTATAGCTATAAGTGAATTTATGAATAATCATGTCTTATTGATTATTTATGAATCTACGATTCATGGAGAGCAGTGCTTTGAAGTTGAGTCCTCTGTTGCCAATGGCAATAGGGGATGGTTTTACTCACGACTGATATCATCTGTTAGGTCTGTAATATTGTTTAACTTGATGTGAGGCGGTTTTTACGTGCATGGTATGCATGGAATCGGAGATCTAGGCTTTCCATATTGTTTAATCTAGACTTTAAGTTTGAAAGTCTCAAAAACCGTTTTCTAATTTGTAGTTTTATTTTATTGGTTTAACTAATCGAACTATCAGTTTTTTAACTCGTTTATTCTATTTGATTCGATTCTTATTATCATAGATACATGAAATAAATTTGAAATCATAAGAGAGAAAAATAAAGAAGCATACTATATATTCACATGTTATCCTTGATATCAGACACTGGAAACATACTTAAAAAGTCGTAAATTCATAAGCATACCTCTCTCTATATAATCACTGTACTGAAAACCAATGTCGACATTTGGAAAAGTAACTAATTTTGTTGCTATAGGAAATGCGAGAACTTTGCTCTACTTTTGGTTGCAGTGGCGGCGTTATTTCGGGTAACGATGTCTCCAACTGTTACGGCTGCTCGGAACAAAGTTACGCCCTTATATACCATCACCAACGCCGATATTAAGAATTCTTTTTATTAATATTTATTCCGTTAACAAATAAATTAAAACCGTAAACAGTTAACAAATTTTATCATTCCAAAAATAAAATGCGAGTTGGAGTAACTTTTACGGTTTTCAACTGATTTGTCAATTGATAAAATATTGGTGAAAGATTCCAAATATTAGCGTTGCTGATGATAAATAAAGGCGTAACTTTATTACGAGCAGCCGGAACAGGTGGAGACACCATTACCTGAAGTATCGCCGCCATTGCAATCAAAAGTATTGCAAACTTCTTGTATTCCATTTCCTGTAGCAACGAAATTAATTAGTTGTAGTATAGAATTGGATATATTCTTGCCAAAGAGCAATATTTTGTACAATTAAGGCCATTTGGTGGAACACTATTGACTACAATTGCAAACCAACACCAGCATTTGCATTGAAGGCAGCACTCAATACCCAACCCTCAAACCAGCCTTATCAGCAACGAAATTGTCTCTGCAGTAGTAAGAAACTGTCGGTAATTCCGACCGATTTTTTGCCACTGCTGCCGCCGCAGCGTTCTTCTCCGGATCGTTGTTTCTAGCCGAGATTTCATCGGTCGTACGCTGGTAATGAGCAAACCATTTGGCCTGCGTGTACCCATGTCGCCTCCATGGTGGCACAGTCCTGTTTAAGCAGCAGCTTGTAATTAGAGAATTCATCCTCCACAATAAATATAAAAAAAAATCATGCCAATGATTTTAATTATTTTCCAAATATAATGATATTATAAAAATAGAAGATCCCCAAAAGGTTATAATTTAGGCTCTTTAAAATAAATTTTTGGTTTCAAGCGGATCAAATTATGATAAATTAAAGTAAAAGGACTGCTTTTTAAATTTAAGTATAGTATAGGGACTAGAACCACAAGTCGACCCAGCCAAAACAAAGGAGAATCAAAGATGCTTACCGGCATCAAAGCCTCAGTAGACACGTCGGGAACTCTCCGACGAGCAAGTTCTGGTACCTGTTCCAGGATCTTAAGCTTCCCGTTGTCATATTCCATCTTATCGACCAAAATCTTTAGCTTGTGTTTAGTCTCCGACCAATAACCTTCAGAATCCGATGATCCATCGTTGATCTCACTGTCCTCTCGCTCATCGGTTTCAAAGGTGCCATCACTCTCGTTAAAACCATTCACGAGATCCGGCGGATCATCAAATTCCCCGGCGTGTGGTCACTGCCGCTGCACAGGTAGGCACCGTACGGAGCAGTGTATTTCCTAGAAATATTTGACCAATATTACACGAGAGAGAAATATTTATAGAGAATTGGAGACGCATTATCTCGGGTAGTTGATTCGTCAGTGCTTTCAATGAATTTAATTTATTTAGGAGTCTATATTCAGTTTAAACACAACGTATGCATAATAAACGGCCAAGTTCAATGAACCCAGGTTAATGTGCGGGGACGAAAGGGATATACTATGACACGCCTTAAATAAGACTAATATATAGTATGATCGATCAAAAATTATAGGTTAAAAGCGCGACTGATAATAATATACATTAAAACTAAAAAAATATTTTTAGTTAAGAGAAAATAATATCAGTGATCAAAAATGCCTTATAATATACGATTTTAATTAATTTTGTTTGGATTTGTCAAAATGACCAACTAAATCGCAATGCGATCGATAATTCACAACGCGATCTCCGGTATCGCAAATCAGTTTCCAGATTCGTAACGCGAACTTCGACTATCGCGTTGCGATTTACATATTCGCATTTCGATAGTCCAAGTTCGCGTTGTGATAGTCGAAGTTCGCGTTGCGATTTTCCAAATTCGTTGCGATAGTCCAAGTTCGCGTTGCGATTTATTCCAAATTTGTTGAGATAGTCCAAGTTCGCGTTGCGATTTATTCCAAATTTGTTGCGATAGTCCAAGTTCGCGTTGCGATTTATTACAAATTCGTTGTGATAGTCGAAGTTCGCGTTGCGATTTATTCCAAATTCATTGCGATAGTCCAAAATCGCAACGACTGGTGGTATTGCATTTGTTTCTTAAGAATTTTCTCTAAAAAGATAGTATTCGTGCGGACGTGTCGAAGACACGTATTACCACGACCACGAGACGAGACGGACGGCGGCGGCGGCAGCGCGCGAGAGTCCCCCTTGTTCTCTATCACTCAACAAGGAAGTGAAAAAGCCAAGCATTCCCAATAGTGTTTCCAATACTATGTGGGATTGAGCATTACCAACACTTGTTTCCAATACTATGTGATTATTCAGGAAACAATTAACAATCATGCATCATAAAACAACTGAATCAGCAACCAATTGCATTAGTATTATACGATTAAATATGTCATAATTAAAAGTCAATCTACAATCAATCGCGATTATTGCAATTTTAAGCAAAACATTCAAAAAAAAATTGCATCACTCGCGAGAATAAAAAAAATTGTTATCGTGCAATTACAATCAATTGAAAATAAATTAGAATTGCATGAAAACTAAACGAACCACAAATACTTTTCATACAAATACTAAAGTCATTAACTATAATTCACAAATAATATCACTATTTAAGGCTCAATCCCACATAGTATTGGGAACAAGTGTTGGTAATGCTCAATCCCACATAGTATTGAAAATACTATTGAGAATGATATTTAAGGCTTGGCTTTCCCACTTCCTTGTTGAGTGATAGAGAACAAGGGAGACTCTCGCGCACCGGCGCCGCCGGCGCCGTCCGTCTCGTCTCGTCTCGTCTCGTCTCGTCTCGTGGTCGTGGTCGTGGTAATACGTGTCTTCGACACGTCCGCGCGAATACTATTTTTTTAGATAAAATTATTAAGAAACAAATGCAATACCACCAGTCGTTACGATTTTGGAGTATCGCAACAAATTTGAAAAATCGCAACGCGAACTTCGACTATCGCAACGAATTTGGAATAAATCGCAAAGCGAACTTTGACTATCGCAATGAATTTGGAATAAATCGCAAAGCGAACTTGGACTATCGCAACGAATTTGGAAAATCGCATTGCGATAGTCGATGTTCGCGTTGCGAATCTGGAAAATGATTTGCGATACCGGAGATCACGTTGCGAATTATCGATCGCATTGCGATTTAGTTGGTCATTTTGCAAATCCAAAAAAAGTTGGTTAAAATCGTATATTATAAGACATTTTTAGTCACTGAGGTTATTTTCTCTATAGTTAAAGTAATATAACAAGTTGCACTATAGTATTATACATTAAAAGAAAACAAGTTATAAACGGTAAATATTATAATATTATTAATATTATTAACATTTTAGATTATACCGAAAATATTATCAGAGTTTAAGTTGATAGAACTTTATTTTCACACGATAAGAAAATAAGTTAAAAACCGAAAATGTTATGAACATATATAAAAAATTACAATTGCCCCCAATAATATTTCGGTTCACTAAGAAATCATGTTGCAATTTAGAATCTAAATACAACAACAACAACAAAACCCAATTCCCATATGCAATAGGGTAAGGGGGAGGTAGGGTAGTAGGCTTCCCCCAACGCCAGGTTGAGAGTAGCTTCCGTGGAAGACCTCCAGCAGTCAGAAAATTAAAAATATAGATAAAATGCAATGCATGTATAAATAAATACATAAATACATAGTTGAACAATATTCATATGCAGTCATTAATATCATTAATATCATATGCGCGTCTGTAATGGGCAGTAATCCCTGCAAATAAATCCCTGCGAAAAAATATCTGCATATAGACAGAAACATAAGACCCAACTAAATTTAAAAGTGAAGAGAATGATACACATAAGTCAATGATAGTAAGTCCAGTTCTAAGCCTTCATAAATACTAATAACAGAAACGTATAAAAAGTAAAAGTCATGGAAATTACTACAAAGGCATTAAAAGAAGACAGAGATGATACACCCTAGAGATGTGACCCACACTACTCGACTATCCTAATCTTAAGTCTCCATACTTTCCTATCAGATGTCATGTCCTCGGTAAGGGTTAAATCCATCAAATCAGATCTCAAGCAGTCTTCCCACTTCCGCTTTGGTCGTCATCTCCTTCTGGCACCGTCGACTGTAATCGACTCTACCCTACTGACCGCATCCGACGGTAGTCGCCTAATGACATGCCTAAACCACCGTAGTCTTCATTCCCTCAATTTTTCAGAAACAGTCACCACCCCCAAGGACATCCTAATAGCAGAGTTTGTTGTCATATCCCACAGAGTTCTATCGCATGTCCATCGAAGCATTCTTATTTCTGCAGCCTCTATCCTCCTTACATGATCCTTCTTGGTTGCCCAACATTCTGATCCATACAACATCGCTGGTCTTATTACCATTCTATAAAATTTTCCCTTAAGTTTTAGAGGCACCTTCTTGTCAAACAAAACTCCAGTAGCGACCCTCCACTTTAGCCATCCCGCCTTTATACGGTGTCTAACGTCATCATCTACACCCCCATCTTTATGTATCATAGACCCTAGGTACTTGAAACAATCCTTTGAGGGGAGAACATGCCATTCTATGCATACTTCTACATCTTCATCGTTTTGGTCCCTACTGAAGTTTGAACATAAATACTCTGTATTTTCAATATTGATCCTTAGGCTTTTTTAATAATAAAATAGGTTTTGCCTAAAATGTTATCAGTTTAAACCGATGTAACAACTTATTGAAGAATTCTAACATTTCATTTAAACATTATACATCAACTTCTAATCAATTTTCATTTCAAACCCATATTTTTTACACTTTATGATTTGGTCTCCTAACCTTTACAAACTTCCAAATTAGTCCAAGCAACATTCTAAAGCTTGTAGAATCGCTCATTCATCATATTTAACCATAAAATAAATTTTCACACAATTTTCTTATTTATTTCCCTTAGGCCGAATGCCAAAAGTCACTTTAGACATGATTTTCAACTTGATTCAAGCATGAATTTAATTTCAAAACATCATTTCCAAGCAATTATAATTAATCTCATATCAAAATCAATTCAAAATTCTGAATTCCATAAAAATCCTAATAGCATAATTTATGTATATACCATTTCTAATGGTTTTTCATCACTTCCAAGCATAGCATGGAAATGATTCAGCTACATCATTATTCAATATTAGAACATCAAAACCTAACATCCCTTGTATCCATCCCATTCAAGAACTTAGGGTTTCAAGCATGAAAAGCAAGATCAAATGACACCACAAATGATAGAGAATTTCATTCTTTTATCCAAATTCCTAATAACCTGGCTTGAAAATTGAAAAGAAAATACTTTCTTACCTAAAAGGGAGTTCACGGCAATAAGAAAAATGAAAATGAGAAAGTCTTGAATTTTCTAAATAAAATATATATATCATTTGTCCCTTTAATAATTAAAATAAATTAAAAAAATCATTTTAATATCAAATGATCATTTTGCCCTTATAATCTCATGTCTCATAACTAGTCACATGACAATTTTATTCATTTAAAGGTCAAAGATGAACCAACAAATTAATAACTTCTAACTTTTTCTTTGTACTTTTCCAAAATTATAATCTTACCATTTTTCATCTAACGATCCTAGTTTAACATGAAAAACTAATCTTAAATCTGATCCATGTTAAATCCTACTATTTTAAGATATAAAAATGAAATTATTAACCTTATCTTATTATACTCCAAAATATTTTAAAATTTTGATTCGCTCCGATTATTCAAATTTTTCTTAGACTTTCGCTTTATAGCTTTTAAAACAAACTCTATATGAAAAATCTGAGTGACACAAAAATGTCGTTCTTGAAGTAAACTATTCATTTACGAGACTAAAACACATTACTTATGAACATTATAATTTAGTCTCCAAACTTTTCCTAAGTTTATAATCTAGCCATTAAACTTTGAATTTATTCATTTTGGTCATTAACCAAAATTTTGGGTATTACAAATGTCGTCCTAGAGAATATTAATCCCACATCATACAGGAGATGTGACAAATCGATGAGGGAACTACAAAATACAACATTTAATGTTATTAATCGATGATAAGTCTAGAAAAGCAATGAAACGAACAAGAATGAGAAAGAACCAACACCACAACATTTAACTCCCTATTAAGGTTTCATGTATATTAATCGATGATTAATTGCCTTAATGTTACACTGTACAAAGTGAAAACATAAAGAATACCTCTGTCTAAAGCAAATGGAAACCAAGATCGCAACACCATATACAAAATCATTTTCAAAACCATGTATTTAAGAATGTCCGAGTCTTTCCTGCAAGATCTGCCCGAGCTTTACGAGAAGATTTTGCTGCTCCTCGAAAGCAAGTTCCGTCAAGATCTGCATAGCAAGAAACAATTATAAGTCTCACATCGTTTACGGTTATAGTTCCAAAATAAAAACAGAACGGCCTAAAAGATCTTTTACCTGGTCCAAGATCATTTCAACCGAGATGCCTTGGCACACAATGAATGACTGGTGATAGATGTATGCAAACACCGCCATCACCATCTATATGTAATGATCGAATATGTCAGAGTCGCATAGATATACTGAAGCAACGCACTGTGTAGGTGGAAAAACTTCAAAAGTTTAAATATATCTGTATAGGACACAACCTATATATCTAACACTGACGCTCGAGTTTGAGTAATATAGACGGACTCAACATTTAATTGAAATGTTTGATTAGGATGAAAAGTTAGAATTATTGTACCTGGCAATCCATTCTATCTGTAATTCCACCATGCCCCGGAATGCTATCACCGAAGTCCTATAGCAAATATTTAAGTTGGAGTTGACTATAGCAAAAATCTGAACAGAAAATAGGAAAGACGTTCGTACCTTGATTTTAAAAGCTCTTTTGAAACCACTTGCAAAAAAGCCCCCGAAAGGTGCTATGATTGATGCAAACAAGCCAAGACATAAAGCATGCCACTGAACTGGCAAAATAGAGATCCCTTGCCAAGGTAACTGCAAAAAAATAAAAAATAAACCCTTAAACCTGTTCCTATTAAAGTTCCCGGCATTAAAATATATGCTAGGACTTTTCATTCTCTCTAAAGTACCCATGTCCAACATTAGTATATTCGAACATGGAATAGAAGTACGTTCCTCCAGATATGTGAAAATACTTAAGTTGGGCCATGTCGGAAACATACTCGGCACTCATCCTTGAGTCCGAGTAACATAGCTTAGAATTTTACATCAGGGCTTAAAGGACCCAAGCACTTTGACTTGAGATGATAATCATTCTAACAAACTGACATAGATGAAGACACTAAACCTATGTGCTACAAGCAGATCGCGTCCCCCATAGCAGTTAAAAAGTTCTCTGTTAACAGTCCACCAGAATTCAAACATATAGCATTTAACCAGGGAGTTTGGAACAATCAGACTAGAAATCCATGCTGAAACTTTTACGGTCAAGTTAAATCACAATCCTCTCTTTCAAGCAAAACCAGATCATACCAACTCAAGGGATAATTATGGCAATAAATTCCGATACAATTATATGTAAGCTTACCAGTTGACGAATCCATCCTGGTAAAGTATAATACTCTGGCTTAAACAAAGGGCCCGGGTCACATTGAAGCCAACCAATTGATAAATCCTACAACCAGTACCGTCACACCCTCAGTTTTCTGAAAAAGAAAGTGGAATGCTATGCTTCTTGAAGAATCGAAGAATAGGTTTGTGATCCAATAATTACCTTCCTTGGACAGGTTAGCCACTGGAAACGACCCAAGATATTTGCAAGCTGCATGTGCAAAAACTTACACCATGTTTATAATCACATTTTAGGATGAAAATATGTAAATAAAACAAAAGGAACATAACTTTCACAGATAATTAAAGATTTACAATGAAAATATGCAAAGAAAATGAAAACAAAAATGAGTGTTTATAGCATACTTGTTCTTCGGCACTGTTAATCAAGGCACTAACACTTGATATTACAGGTTTAGGATGAGCTTCAAATTCACGCTTAAGAGAACAAGGTGTTCAATAAATCATCTACGACTTACGTTCATAACACAGAGAAAAGGGAAAAACTAAAGAATATGACAACCCCCTTAAAGCATTCAGTAGGGACAATTGTATTGGTTGCACTGAAAATGCTACTACAGCATTAACCTTTTCATTAAGATTGGATTTAAGTATTATACAGTCACCTGGACTATTCCATTGAATTTGAAATTTTAGTTTGGTGAATTTCCCTACCAATAGAGGTAAAACCAGAAGAAGATAAATGATGCTCTGACTACAAAGAATATGGAGTCAAATGCAAAATAGGAAAGTATGAAACAATGCTCACCACAAATGCAGAGATCGTAGTTGTAACAGAAGCTCCAATAAATCCCTCCCATGTTTTCTTTGGAGATAATTTAATTAATGGTGTTCTTCCAAAGAAGAACCCAACTATATAAGCAAAAATGTCATTGATAACAATAAGAGATGCTGGAAGAAGAAACCTGGGAAGAAATGACGTCTTTGGTTAAGCAAGAAGAAGACAGCGGTAAAGAATAGGGAAAGAGAGAATACAGTCAAAGTATCAACATTCAAACGATTAAAATTACAATATAGAGATCTTATTTTTCATCTTGACTGTGTACATCTGTTATTAACCTGGTAGGAAGCATGTTCCAGAAAGAAAAGTTACCAAAAAATCCCTTCAAAGATGTTGGCCACAGTAAAGGATGATTGTGTGAATACCACAATCAGAATCATGTGCGTCCATGCATACTGGCGAAACTGATACTTGTACATGTTCTTCTTCAATGTAAGAATAAACCACATAAAACCTGATCCCAAGAACCCAACAAAAAAAAGGAAACGATATCAATGGCCTTGGGTATTATTTCATACAAAAAGGTGAAATCACCATATGACAAGTAAGAAGACTATCTAGGACTTAAGAAAACAATATAGGTATTCACAGAATAAAGAACAACTAGCCCCACTTTGGTCCAAAATGAAATTTAAGATATCAATTGATGCATCCTAGACATTATTATTCTTCCATGTTTTCAATCAGAACACATAAAATAAAAAGCTTAGCAAACCTGCAATGTACAAGAAGTAACAGATAGCCATTTGATACTTGATAAGGCTGCTGGCAAACTGATACAAATACTTGTCCGGAGTTACAGAATTGACTAGTGGTTGATTGAGAAGGCGACCATATACAAATAACATTGCAGTGAAGAAAAAGTGCCTGCCATAAAACAAAGATGAATACATTCTAATGAAATGGAAAAACAGGCTAGTAAGATTAAAGACTAACTTCTATGAGGCGAAAAATCTTAGTTGCTGTAGGCAAATACTGCAAATGTAGTATTCTCACCAATTTAATAGCCTAAATCCTGGAAGGTGCCTATCTTCATGTGCTTTCCTGAGTAGATTAAATAGTTCTCTCGCCATAAATATTTGGATAACCACCACCATAGCTGTAATATAGAGATGACCCATGTAGACAATCAATGCAAAACCCCCAATCATCCAAACAGTAGAGTATGTCCGGATCCACATTGATTTGTACTTGTTACGGTCATCAACAAGAAAAGTTTCACCATTTGCTTTGCTAGGTTCTGGAATAACCTGATAGCATATTTGAATGTTTAAGAAGTAAACTATAAAAATTTGCTTGCAGAGGGAGATCTCCCTTCCAAATGTGACATCAGGAACCCGTGACCATAAATATTGAAAAGAACAAAACACATCAACATTTGAGTATCCAACCTCATTAGATCGTTTCCGCTGCCGAACCCTAGTAGCAGCAGATGAGAGGGTTATATTATTCTCCTTTTCCATGGATCTTTAATGACAATCGTCAATGGTCAAAGAAAAACACATACATATATTTGGGTCACAGGAAAGATTACTTTCTGCTTGAGCTACCAAATTACACGCTCTTGAATGGGATGACCACTGGGGCTCACTGAAAGAGACATGAACAATTCTATCACGCACGGAGGCACAGAATAATCACTTAAATATGCCTGCAGTTGGACCTTTGGTTTTTCAGAAACATAATTCAACATAGTAAAGAATATCCAATGAAAGCCTTAAATTCAAAATGCCTAACTTAAAACTAGCAAATAGACATATATCATTGGCAGAAAGCTCTTGCTGGTTCAAAACAAGCAACCTTAAAAAGACAAGAGAATTCCATCTAGGCCAAATCAATGCACACCATAGATCTTTTATATGCCTTCTATCACTCAAATCTAAATCTCTAGCTTTCTCCACTCATGTTTTTAGACAAATAGTGATATTCCTGCAAGATGAAAGAACCATAGCAAGTGCACAGCAGGTATAAGTAACAAGATCACATATTTGTTCATTCTTTGAGAAAAGCAACATTGAAACTTTAAACTACTCTAAATAACAATCGGGCACAAAACATGAGTTATTAATTAGGGAATTTATACCCGCTAAGCTTTCCATTATCAATATTCAAATTTTCGAATTCCAGTTTCCACCAGAAGATTTAAAATATAGAACTACACTCAAACTCTTAAGCTAGTTATGCTTCTCCCACTAGCTTTCCATGGTCAAGAATCAAGATTTAAACTTTCGAATTCCAGTCTCAAACTCTTAAGCTAATCAATCCCAAACATCTATAGAAACTGAATCAAATAGCACAAGCCCAGAAAAAGATAAACAAGGATTAAATTTAATACAGTAAATAATGAAAATTACCACTCAACCAAATCTGAATCTGAACGAAACTCAATACCTGGAACTCTAAAAGATGGTCGAAACGCCAGATAAACACTAACAGCGGCTACTACAAAGCATTATGGGAGCAAGAGAGAGAATTAGAAATCTGGGTTTTAGCTTATAGTTGTAGTTATGAAAAAACACATGAAGGCAAGCGAAAGAGTGGCAGTGAGAATAAGAATAATTAAAAGGTGAGACGGGCAAGCAAAGCAAAAGGATGACGCTTTATTCTATTTGGTGACTAATTATCTTTGGTTCATCAATTATTTATTAGGTTAATTACACCATTTTTCACTAAACTATACTCTTTCTTCTATTTTACTCATCATATTTTTAATTTTTCTAATGTACTCATTCAATTTTTGAATTGCTCTTATTTTGATCATTATGAATTATTTTATTAATATTTTCATATGACGTGGTATTTTTTATTATTTAATATAATGTCGGAACCGTCTTTCGGGTGGGCCCGGAATTGGGTTTCGACTTAGGAAAATGGATTGGAGTCGCCACCGATCATTTATTTTATTAAAAATGGGCTGATCGGATACCTTATTTCTTACATGATCTGCGTCCTACCAGTGATATGTCGGATTCGGGAGTCGGTTACAGTCAAGGAAGGGTTAACACCCTTGAACTGCCCTTTCGGTACTACGTAATTTCCAGTTGTCTTTATTATGAAAGTTGTAAATTTAAATTTAAAAGGTAAAAATAACGATCCTAAATTACTTACCTCTGATTGATTTGAAATCGTCCTTTAAAAAAATCGAGAAATGTGTTAGGTAAAAGAAAAAATAAATAACCAAAATAGTGATAATCTATACACAACCAATGAATAAATAAGTGCAAGAAATAAAAAAACAAAATAAAAATGAATCATCAAAGAAATGAAAATTAAAGTAAAAATAAAAAAAAATAAACTAAAAATGGTTAATGCATATATATAAATAAAAAATATAACCAAATAAAGATAATTACAGTATACATATAGTAATAATAAACTTATAAGTAAAATATTAATATATATATATATAACAATAAAATATAGTATATAAAAAAATCAAATGACAATAAATAAAAATAAATAAATAAATAAATATATATATATATATATATACGTATAATAATAATAATATGAACAATAAAAATAAATAAGTAAAATATCTATATAATAAATAAGGGGACTAAATCGAAAATAGAATGAAATTTAAGACCAAATTTAATAGGAATTTGCGGTGCAATTGGATTTTTGGGGGTAAAATGGAATCGTTTTAAAAATAGAGGGACCAAAATCATGGTTTACCCTTTAAAAGAAACACGCGGATCCTTCCCCGGGTCAGGTTGACACGCAGGTCACCGCACCACGGACTGGGTATAAAGCCCAACAATTTTTTTAGCTTTCATTTCTCTTCTTTCATGCCCGAGAGCCCCTCTCCATCTCTAAATTTTTTCTCCGTTGTTCTTCATTTAGGAAGAACAACCACCGTGGTTCTTCAAGAACCCAAAAAACGTTGCCTTGCCATCGCCGTTGATCGGCGCCGACCGCCGGTCATCGGCGACAAACCATAAAAAAGTTCATATTTTTCGAAAGCTCTCGACCCACTGACTTTAAAAATGGATTTTGTTTCTGCAAAGTGGCCTCAGGGGAGGCTAGATCTGAGATCAAAGTCTCGGTCCCTCCCCTAAAAATTCATCGGCCAAAAAAAAATTTTCCTTTGGTATTTTCCGAATCAAGAACAAAACGAACGCATGTAAGCCTCAATCGCACTAAACTACTGCTTTATTTGTTGTTGACGATCCTTGCGGCGAACGGTTCAGCGTGGGTGGCGTGCTACCGTGAAACTCGACCATGTGTGAGGGCTGTTGACCGAGGGACTCGGTCATGGGACTCTTGGATGCGGCGCTGGCTGGTAGCAGAGGGCACGCTAGGGTTTTTGGGAACCCTAGTCTCTTTGGGTCACCGTTGGGTCGTGTGGTTTGGGTTTCTGCTGGGTTTTGTAACTTGGGTCGAATATTGGGCCTGCAAATGTAAATAAAATTAATAATGTTATATATATATAATTATGCAATATAATATGTAATATTATATAAGACGTAATTGAATGTCTTCAGCTGCCCCTCTTTGTTCATTATCGTATAACGAAAATAGAACAAATATTAAAAGACACAAATTTCGGTCATATCGAATATATTCCGTTGTGGAGTTGAAATCCGATATTAAGATTGGTTTGTCAATCTGGATTGAATTGCGAAACGACCCTCTCGTCGTGAGGTTGAGTCTAAACTGAACCATTTTGAGCACGTTATCCTTCGTCGTGAAGTTGAAATCGAACTCAGAAAATTAGAAAGTGACTTTTGGATCGTCTTCTGGCTCAAGATACTTCGTCGTGAAGGTGAAACTTGACCTGAAGACTTCGGTGTCGCTGTGTTATAGACGACTCCTTCGTTGTGAAGTTGGGTCAATCTGTTAGGATACGGTACCCTTCATTATGAAGTTGTATATGTATATGGCCCCTTCGTTGTGAAGTTGAGCCTGGGAATTGGATATCCTTCGTCGTGAAGTTGAAAATCCAATGTAAGTTGTGTTGTTTCAAGGCCAATATCCTTCGTTGTGAAGTTGAAATTGACTCTGAAACTGGAAAGTGTATTGACAGACACTCATTCTTTGAGTTGGATATCATTCATCGTGAAGTTGAAATCTAATCTAGAGATGGATGATGCTTGTGTGCACAATTCCCTTTGTCGTGAAGTTGAAACCGCGGGTGGCCCCTTCGTCATCAAGTTGAGCCTGGTAATTGGATATCCTTCGTCGTGAAGTTAAAATCCAAGTAAGTTGTATTGTTCTGAGTCCAATATCCTTCGTCGTGAAGTTGAAATTGGCTCTGGAACTGAGAAATTATTTATTGACAGCCAGCCGCCCCTTCGACGTGAAGTTGAGCTTGTGTTGTCTTGAGTCCAATATCATTCGTTATGAAGTTGAAATTAACTCTGAATGAAATTGAAAAGTTATTTATTGACAATCAGCCGCCCCTTCGTCGTGAAGTTGAGCTTGTGTTGTCCTGGGTCCAATATCCTTCGCTGTGAAGTTGAAATTGGTTCTGAAATTGGGAAGCCCCTTCATCGTGAAGTTAAACCCTAAATGACACGATATCCTCCACCATGGAGTTGAAATCGTGGATGTGTGGGTACGATATCCTCCGTCGTGGAGTTAAAATCGTGAATGGCCCCTTCGTCGTGAAGTTGAGCCTTGACTTGAATATCCTTCACCGTGAAGTTGAAATCCAAGTATTGTATGTTGCGGGTGGACACGATTCCCTTCGCCGTGAAGTTGAAACCGTAGATGACCCCTTTATTGTGAAGTTTGGCTTCGAGCTAGATATCCTTCGTCGTGAAGTTGAAATCTACTCTCGAGCAAATTATGTCGCTTCGAGTTCAATATCCTTCGCTGCGAAGTTGAAATTGACTCTAGCTAAAACTTAAAAAAGTTATGCATATATGTGATACTATGAATGCAATGCTCTTAGGTGTGCCTAAAATGCATATGCAACATATGTTATCTTGGGGTCCTAGAGAGAAATCTCGATCTCCGGTTGCCTATATGGAATCTTGAAGTTCCGATCCCTGGTCTTGAATTCTTCAAATATTGAAATCTGATGTGCATATTTTGTTTTCTCAATCCTTGATCTGGGAAATACTTCTCGACTATCTCAAGTATATGTATGAGCCTTGATCGGCTTCCGGGTACCTGTACTTTTCAATGAATCTTTGTACAGTAATATGCGATTATCTTTTGCATAAGTAAATAAATCATTTTGTTTAAGCTCAATCCAAGATGCTCAAAACGAATTGGTTTAGAGAAAAAGATTGTCTTTTATTCATGAGAAAAAAGAACAAATAATACATGACAAACATTCTAGAAAATGAATGCATGATGAGGTGTAAATGAATGTCTTAGATCTCGATAATTTGAGCACTTCTGAGCTGAAAAGCCGTTTGGTGACCTTGAATGCAACCTTTGCCAAAGGATCTTTGAAAATGCGACAACGTTCAGGAGACTGCAACATTTCTCCGATTTGTTGAGTTTGTAGAAGATTCATATATCGGGATGCTTCCATTGTCTGGATTTCTTGAACTAATATCAAAATCGCCCTTTCGGGTTTTCAACTTGTACCCTTCCTTGGTTGCAAAATGCCCTTTGCAGGTTTTCATCTTGAACTCACCTTATTTTTCTTTTCTTTTTTATTTTGTTCTTTTTTCTCTTTTTCTCTTTTCTCTTTTTCTTTTTTTCAATTTAGGGCGCCCTTTCGGGTTTTCACCCTAAATGTTTTTCTTCTCTCTTTTTTCAACTTAGGACGCCCTCTCGGGTTTTCATCCTAAGCGAAGTATTTCTTGACTGCATCCGAGTTGATGGGATGTGGCAATTCAGGTCCGTCTATTTCAGCCAGGACAAGGGCTATTCCGGAGAAGGCCTTTTTCACGACATAAGGTCCTTCCCAATTTGGTGTCCATTTTCCTCGGAAATCTTTATGGACTGGCCAAATTCTTTTTAGCTCCAGATATCCTTCGTGGAATATTCTCAGACGCACCATTTTGTCATGTGCTCAGATCATTCGTTCCTGATAGATTTGACCATGATGAATGGCTTTCAGTCTCTTTTCATCTATAATATTAAGTTGATCATATCTAGATTGTACCCACTATGTATCATCCAGTTTGACTTTTGTCAAGACCCAGAGTGACGGAATCTCTACTTCAATGGGTAGCACTGCTTACATTTCATAAGCTAGTGAAAATGGAGTTACACCAGTTGAGGTTCGTACTGAGGTTCGATAAGCGAACAAAGCAAAAGGCAACTTCTCATGCCAGTCTTTGTAAGTTTCAGTCGTTTTCTCCACTATCTTTTTAATGTTTTTGTTTGCTGCTTCTACTACTCCGTTCATCTTTGGCCTGTAAGCAGTAGAATTATGATGCTTTATGTTGAACTGCTCACAAGCAGCATTCATCATTTTATTGTTCAAGTTTGTAGCGTTATCGGTGATGATCCTTTCAGGTAGATCATACCGACATATAATCTCTTTCTTCAGAAACTTGCAAATAGTGGATTGAGTGACACTGACATATGACGCAACCTCTACCCATTTTGTGAAGTAATCGATTTCCACGAGAATGAACTGATGACCATTTGAAGCCTTCGGATATATTTGCCCGATAATATCC